TAGCTTCCGGTTAAGGCCCTTAGCTCCTCGTTATGCCATTGTGGCCCGAAGCTTCACAATTACCTTGGCTTTAATGGTATACTATACTAACCATAGTGTGAGCGGTACTCGCGTTATTACAACAGCTTTTTATGATCCGGCAGGCAAACAGTTTTCGGGGAGCTGCTGAGCAAACAGCCCAAAATATGTTTAACCGATAATTAAGTAGCATCAAACTCTGCCCACTGGAAGACCTGGGGGCTTCGAAATGGGTTCGGGTTCCAACATCTGTGGAGAGCCGATGGCACATCCCGCCCCGCGGCAGCTCTTGCATGAAGAATTGCTGGGGCGCAACGCAAATAGCTGGCCGAAAAAGTGGAAATCATCTTCGCATTTGGCGCTAAATGTTTTTCGCTGCCTTACAAATCGCCGGCAATTCGCTTGGGCCAAAAACAAATTGGGTTCCCTGCAAGCCTAGGCACATGAATGCGCTCGAAGCTCGAAGCTCCGACTCGCCCTCAATGGGCCAAGTGTGAAACAGTTGACAGGCGGCTGCCACGAAGCGTCAAAGTGACTTCAGCTATGCCTCCGACCGCCGGAGTGTTTCGCTTTTTCATTCTCGCCCAACAACTACAGCCAGAGCTACAGCTACACAAATTGCAAATGAGCGACCGACACACAAAAACGCCGCACGGAAATGCACAAGAATTCTTGGGCAAAAAGCGGCCGAAAATTGTATCAAAGGCGGAAAAAATGGCCAGAAGCAGCATCAGCAGCAGCCAAAGCGATTGCATTTGACCTCAAAATCTATTAGCACGTCGAACTCTGGCGGCTATGAAATGCAACTGATGCCGCGCCCCCTCGGGCGAACTGGGCCCAAAAACCATGTATGGTAGTTGTTGCAAGAATAGCAACCTGCAGCATCAACAACAGCATCGGTGGCAATAATTGCTACCACACTCATGTCTGGGTGCATCAGAGACACGTAGGTCAATGCATCAACTTCGGGCGAAAAAAAAAACATCATCATCAGACGCAGCCGCAGACTGGCTGACTATCTGCCGAATCTCTCGGGGGCTACGACTTTTAAAAAATGTTTAACAAAAAGTCTCGTTGTTGCAAAATTTACATGTCTTGTCTGACGCACATTCACACTTGGGTTTTTCTTGATTGTTCCCCGTGCTACGATGAACTATAATGAGCAACGTGTAAGGATGTTTGAACAGATGATTAATTGTTAGCCAAACAAAATGTCACTGAATACATGCTGTCCCATAACTTCATAATACGAATTTTGATTGATGAATTGTTTACCCAAAAAAACTGTCTCAAACTACTCTTTTTCCTTAAAATGAAGTCATACATAATTTACTTGAGATCAGGTTGATATATGCCCAGGTCCCGAACCATTTCTCAGCTTTTATAGCATCTGCCATTCAAAGTGGGATTTCAGTTACCTGAACAGAGAGCTCCAAATATTTGCTCAGTAATCCAATTATGAGTGTTTGAACTCAACCGGAACATTGTGCAAATATTAAAACGCACATCATCCGAGTGATTTATGGGCCAGGAAGATAAAAGAAAAGCGGGCCCCACAATGGAGATCATTTTGGGCTGTCCCGAAAAGTGATCTCTATCGCTCGGATGTGCCAATATAAAATACTGTTTTAATTGCCCGCCTCGCAAGACTTTTAGTTCCTAACAAAGACCAGCAAATGACGCTTGCCAAATCTGCTGTAAAATAAATAAACAAAATGCACAATGGTGCGGGCACTTTCAAAACATTTGCCTGGGAATCTCTGGCAAAGCCAAGTGATTAGCTCGGCTTAGACTTTTATGCATTTATAATGACATTTTTCACACAGTTTGTTGCCAAAAGCTCAGCCGAAAACAACTGTGCGTTGCTCATTTAAAATGCTTAACATTTTAATTTGGGTTTGTTTTAGTTTTGCTTCGCGTTTAGGTAAAATAGTATGACAGAATCTATTTAGATGTATAGCAAAATGTTGGAAGCGTTTTGCTGATTAATTATGGAAAATTAGCATAACATTTACTGAAGTAGAAGATTAACACCAAAAGGCAAATGAGTCAGGCAGGAAACTGGAATATTTGTAGATTTAATATAAGAATATATGTATGCACGAATTTTTTATATGGAATTACCAGAATGTGGAAGTTTACCTGCGTGGCTGGTTAACTTATTGCCAAGGATGCCAACGGCCTTTCTGGTTGGCAGGTTGGCTTTTTCTCCCACCATTAGCCAAATGACCAGCATATCCATCTGCACCTGCATGGCACTCCCAAACAAACGAAAAAAGCAACAATCAAGTTTTAGACTTTCCTTGGTCCGCTGTGTTAATCGTGGGGGCTTCGATTGAAGATGAAGATGCGCTGACTTTATGCAATTTCTCGCAACAGGAATGGTCGGCAAGGCTAGTCAGCAAGTCAGTTTCATAATGAGCATCGGTAAAGGTGAAATTTTCCTCTATTTCGCTTGCACACGAGTTACAGATAATATGAAATAAAAAACCATTTATCCGTCGACGGAGAAGGCCACACAAGAGTCAGTGCAAGGCAACTAAGCAGATAAGCTGCCACAATCCACAATCCAGCAACACGAACAGCCAAAACAAATAAATCAAATCTTCAAATAACACGTATACGACATGTGGTCGACGGGGAAGAAGAAGGCGGCAGCAGCAGCAGCAGAAGCAGCAGCTTGGCGTTGCCTTAGTTTCTATGCTCTGTGCACTGTGCTCTGTTCACTGTTCACTGTACTAGGTTCAGTGTTCGGTGTTCACTGTGCGGGTTTCAACACTTTGCCACAAGACAATGCGGCAAAAAGCGCAAAAAACAACAAGAGTCGCTGCGGAAAAAAACAAATGCTTCCTTCATGTCAGCTCAGCAACCGTAAAGGTTAAGCGGCAACTTGACAAAAAGGTTAAAACGATTTAACAGACATTTGGCTGCAATGCGAGAAGTGCGCCCCTCGAACTCCTCGCACTTGAGTCCGCAAAAGCGAGCCGGGCAATCGCTGGATGCATCGATCCTTGGCATATCCATCTTAAGATCCCCAAACTCCCGATCCCCCGATCCCAAGATCCCCCGAAACTCTGCGCATGCGCCGAAGGCGGAACCAAATTTTGATTGCGGAGACCCTCGGCGCGGCGCGGAAAATGCAACCTCAGTCTTTAGCAGTCAACTGGTGCTGGCTTATTATTTTTGTTGCTTTAAACTCAACACCTGCTCTTCGCACGGCGTTGACATTTTTTGTGGCCCGATAATGATTCGGCAGCGAAACTTCCTTATTTGTCATTGTTGTCGCTGAACACTTTTCAGCAGCGTCTTGCCATCAAGATGACTGCATTTCTCGCCGCGCTTTCCTATGAATTATTGTGTAAAAAGTTTGATTAATATCAAGTAATACAAATTATTATTATTGCATAAAAAGTTTGATTGATATCATCCAATGAATCCGTTGAGAGGAAATGTCTGGCCACAGAACATAATTCATCGACGAAGCTAATTAATTAATAGTAATTTATAAATTCGGCCATTATACATGTTCTCGAACGAAGCAAAACCGATCTGACCTTCGAAAGACTAATCGCCATTAAAGGCAATTCAATTCGTTTGGGCAAAGCCTTGACAATGACAAACTCTTGATTCGTGTAATTGCAAATTGAGAATCGTGAATTGAAATTAAAACTTGTGCAGACCATTGAGTGCAACTCTTGAACTTTAACAGATCGCTTGGCTAATCGACTTAATTTACAATTTTTATTAAATTTTAATGTCAGGCTTTGGACGTGCCTATTACCAAAGACACAGCGGCAATTTTATTTTGTGTACATTACGTTACTTTGACGAAATTAAATTTAGGTGTGAGAATATTTTTAGGCAAACAGCCACCGCCGAGACGAGAACCCCGCCAAGGCAATCCACTAATTTAAATACAAAAAGCAATTTCGGCAACCGAAGAACCCAGAAGACAATGCATAAAAGCAGAATCTTCGTCGTGTTGAACAACTGCAGCTAATTTCAATTTAAATTTATGTTCGCATCGAATGAAATTTCGAGATTCTGTTCGATCCAGTATTGTTATTGAAAACCGTCGCGTTACGTAAAGAAAACAAATCTTTTGTCTTGACGGCGGCCAAATTGCCCAAACCATTGAAAATGATTTAATTGAAAGAGTGTCGCCGATGGAAGCCGGTTGGCGCTGAACTCTCTTGTTTTTAGCTGGTGTCTCCCCCAGTTTTGATATTGTTTGCTGTTGTGCAAATTAAAACGATTACTCGAAATTATGCAAAGTACGCAGAAACTACGGGAACAGCGGCAGCAGCGACAACAGCTGCAAAAATGAGCTGACGGAAGCGAGCGATACGATGCTTTGCCACGAGAAGTGAATGTCTTCTGGGGGATTGACTGACTGGCTGACTAACTGACTGACTGACTAACTGAGTAACTGAGTAACTGACTGACTGAATTACTCCTGGCCGGCGCCCAACATCTGTTCCTGGGCAGCCAGTTCGCTTTTCGGTTGGGCCAGCCTAAAATGTAATAATTTATTGCGCATACACCCTGTGGTACGAGCAACTCGCTTCCCAAAAACAAGCTGCGAATCTGCATATCTCCGCTTCTGAATATCTCTATATGGCGAGCAGATATATCTAACGATCTGCCGTAAATTTCTGCATGCGTTTGTGGGCGTCTGCCGGTTATGCAATCGCTGAGAGCCTTCTGCGCTTTGTTTGTCTTCTTCGGCACATTGACAACTCTTCTGCGCCGATTTGTGCAAGCCCCGAGTTCATTTATTATTTCTGCCGTTGTTTTCGTATAATTTCTATTACCCAATACGGCGCCCTGCCTGGCTGGGTGTACGTGTTTTCGACAATAATTATTTTTCCGTTTCTTTCTCTCTCTTATATTTTGGCATCTCCCACGATCTTTCGCAATAAATATTCATAATTTTCCTAACTAGCTAAAGATTTGTTTCTCCGCTTCCCTCTGTCTTTCAGGCAATTCCCAATACAAAATGCGGTGTTCGCAGCTCATCTTGTTGTGCGGTAAGTAAATAAGTTCAAAGGTTCACACACCAAAATCAGAAGTATCTGATATGAAACAGAGATAAATGATAAGAAATAATTTTAAGTTACTATGAATATTCATTCATTCTGTTTCTTAATGCGAATCCTTATGAATAAGTATCAAAAACAATTAAAATAAACATTAAGACAAAGTTTTTCATTTTCAATTTTATTTTTCATACAGATAATATTTTTTATAATTTTTTTAGTACAGCATTTCTGAATTGGTTTTGGTTTAACATTATTTTGATGGTAATAACCATGTAATTATATATTTTTTTGCTTGTACACACACTTCGCATAAGAGTAGCCCTAAATAAATATTTGGAGAAATAAAAAGCGTTCTTCGAGTTGGCAACATCCTTGACCTTGTCAGCTCATAATTTTCCCATCGTAGATCAGCGGCTAACGGTGAAGCTAAGTTTTATGGCCGTGCGTGTGCCGCAAAGCGTGGGCGGCAAAGCGGCCAAGATTGCGTTAATGCGCCTTTGTCTCAGCCAGTTGCGTGAGTCGTCTTCTTTTTGTTTTTTTTTTTTGTTATTAGAGCGACTTGGCGTGCGACAAAACGGGGGGCCGAGACATAGTTCAGATACAGATTCAGATTCCGATTCAGATTAAATGTGACTTTGATTTGAATTAATGGATTGGCCGGCCGAATTCCTGGGAAATGCGATTTTTAACGGCTCATTAGGACGGGCGTGTTGGCCGAGACCCAGTTGGCGAGATGGCAAGACGGCATAAGTGACAGCTCATCTAGTGGTCGAATAAAACCAACAATGGCCGGCAATCTTCTTTGGGCTTTGAGTCTTCGAGAGTTTGAGTAATTACGCGCCCATCGACAGCACCTCTCAATTAAGTCGGCAGACCATCCCGCTGTGCAAAGGCACGAACCCGATCGAAAAGGCGAACCTAATGAAACGACAGATTCGAAATTGATGCGAGTACAACGTGGCGTATGCTTGATTAGGCGGCCGTTCGAATTTGAGCCCGCTTGCCAATCAGCGGGCACAAATTATGGGCAATTGTTTAATTTGAATAAGGCAGCAACACCCGCGACCAACTCATCAGCGGGTCTTCTTCTCCACTCGATGATTCACTTAATCGCTGTGATTATGCAGCAAGTGGGCCTTGAATCTTGCGGCTATTTTTGTTATTCAATAAAATAACCGCCGTGGTGCGACTGACATCTTCCTCTGCCGCAGACTGCCGTCATGACTTTTTATTTCTATTTCTGTTTCTTTCTTTAATTGTTTTTATGCTTTAAAATTTAATTATTGCATCGCGGAGGGGGCCTGAGGTCAGTCACTTCCAGCCAGTCAGTCAGTCCCAGTAGTCGCGTCTTGCGTAATTTGGCAATGCCTGCCATCCAAGTTGAATGGAAAAGTCAAGGTCCGCGGACTCGCCATCAAGAAGACATTCTAAATGGCGAAGCAGAGTCCAAACCTGAAAAGTTGATGGCCCAGACATTGCAGGGGAATGATCAAAACGAAACTATCCACAAAGAAAATAATAGCTGTGTGGCACGAGAAGATTCATTAAAAGAATTCCTCTTAAACATTAATCTGCTCGTTTCCAGCTGATTTTGAACACGATATAATTATAAATAAGTAAACGCTTGAAGAGCTGAAGATCCAATGAATGAACTTTAATTATAATGATAACCCATGAAGTTTTGATTATTTAAAAGTTATACCTATATTTAGTTAGAAATGATCTTGTCTTATCATAAGTAATGCTTCCGGCTTACTTATCATTAAATATAATTCTTTATTGCCCATTACAGCTTTGCTCGTAGTAATATTTCTTGGCTACACAAGCGCAGAAACAAAGGTATGTTTATCTGATATTCCAACTGAACATATATTGAATATATAGTTCTTTATCTTGTATAGTATCGCACTCCTGCCCGGATATTGGCCAAGCAAACGGGGGCCACTCAATTCGAGGAGGAACGCTATGAGGCACACTCAAACTGCAACGACCACAAGCACCACTTGAAGAAGCGAGCCTCCGATGAGGATGTGGACTACGAGGTGTACCAGGGAGTGGTGGGTCGTCCGGGCATCGACTTTCCCATCTACCCAAGGATTCCCAAGACCTCGTTTAGCTGTCGTTCATATGGCAACGGTTACTTTGCAGATATGGAAACGGACTGTCAGGTGAGCTGATGATTGGATTTAAATAAAGAAGAATTTGTTACAGATAACTCTTTGTCCGTATAGGTATTTCATATCTGCGAGGAGGGCCGCAAGATATCCTTCCTTTGTCCGAACGGCACCATCTTCCAGCAGAGCGAGCTCACCTGCGACTGGTGGTTCAAGGTGAACTGCCTGGGATCCTCGGGTTATTATGCAGAAAGTGCGGAGATCCTCAACAAGCAGCGAGTGCATCGCGTGCGTCCTTCCGTTCCCGTCCAGGGATTCAACATCGTGGGCGGTGGACTGAACATTAAACCGAAGGTTACTCCAGTTGCTGGTCAAGCGAGAGCTGGTCCTCGCTCGAATTCCGACAGACGCATTGATTCCACGGAGGACGTTCCCGCTTCAGTGGAGAGTGTGGACTTCGACGACGTGTCGGGTGAGAAGCAGCGGAAGGTCCTGCCCAGCATCGACAACAACAGCAACGACCACGAGACCCAGATCACTGCGGAGAGCTCCTCGTTTGTCAGTGGATCCGCCAAGCGGAGAACGAATAAGGATAGCAACTTAAATCGCAACAGCAACGATGACAATGCGGTTTTGAAACCCGCTCGGATTAGGACTCCAGTGGCGTCCCAGGAAAGGGGAGTTTCCACCGAGAGAGCAAGGAACGGACAGAGGGGACAGCACCGCTACAGTGGCAGCGAGGAGCACAGCAAGGAGCGGGAGAAGCCAATTCCCAGCCAGCCAAAGGAGAAGCCCGAGTTCTTCGAGGCCCACTCCACCCGATCAGTGCCACAGACCACTCCCCACTACTCCACTGGAAGCCATGTCACCGTGCGCCGACTGGAGGCCACCAAGACTACGCCTTTTTACACACCCACTGTTCCAAGTCTTGTGAAGTCGAAGAGCACCGAGGGAAAGCTGAACTACATCAAGGGTGGTCATGCGGCCACGACTCCCAATCCCCACAGGTTCGGTGGCGCCAGCTCGGGAATCTTCCTGGAATCCTCTTCTGCACCGAAGCTTAGGCCAACTGCCAGTGCCAGCATCGAAGTGGACAGCACTTATAAGCCAGTGGTCATCGGAATGCGACACCACTACGACGTGGCCAGCTCCGGGGAGTTCCGAGCGCCAGCGAAGTCCACCGAGAGCCGCGACTATCTGCCAACCACTCCGGCTCCCTCGGCCACCAGCAGCGGTCCCACTTATCTGCCTAAGAGCGCCAAGTCCCCCAGGGGAAATGCGGCAGCTGCAGCTGGCGAGGATGTCCTTCTGTTTGCCCCAAATCCCGTGAAGGAGGAGTCCGTCTACCGCAACGTGCAGGATATGCTGAAGACCATGAACCTGCTGAAGGATCAGTTCGAGGACGTGGAGCTGAATGGCGCGGCAGCAGCTCCCGCTAGAGTAGGACTGGAGATTCCACCCTCCTCGGGACCAGATGCCCTCGTCTCCTTCGCCAAGTACTTTGCCCAGGAGCACAACGAAACCTCTAATGCTGTTGGCAAGTCAGAGAAATCGGAGAAGCCAGACAAAACTGGAGTGAAGACCAAGCTGTCCGTGAAGCCACCTCCGCTGCCGACTATCAAGCCATCGGACACCACGGCACTACTGACCACTTCTGAGAATCCCCCTGCCATCAGTGAAAATGCGGATGACATCAAGAAGAGTCTGTTGAGCGACACCACCGTGAAGAAGTACAGCAATCTGTTTGGTCTGAAAACCGCCCAAGGTCGCGATGCTGGAGAAAGTGACATCAGCTCGGGTCTGCTCTCCAATCAAAATGCGACCCAATCTGATCAGGGATCGAAGTACCAGCAGTTCCCACAAATTGGCAGCACGGGGTCCACAGTTGGCGCTCTGGCTGAAAAACCCGAGTCCCGCAAGATTGCCCAGATCTTCTCGAACGCCTTGTCCAGTTACCTGGACAACCCAGCTACCTTCCGAGCGGAACTGGCCGCCCGAGCTCGTCCCACGGAACCGCCAAGCACACCTAATTTCAAACCCGTGACCACCACAGATCCCTCGCTCTTTAGCGACGGAACAGCCAAGTACTACCTGCCCACCAAGGGATTGCCAGATGCCACAACGCCCACGCCAAACAGCATTGCGGCGGAGATCAACCACAAGTTCGACTCGACCCAGGCTCCGGACTACTCCACCACCACGGAGCTCTACGAGGGCAGCACTAATCGCGGCCAGGAGCTGGAGTTCTCCGGGGAGCTCTCCCCACCCAGCCAGGATTCCGGGAGGAGTTCCTGCAGCAGCAGCAAACGCAGTCGTTCGTCAAGTCCCGCAACGATCTGCTCAAGGAAGCCAGGCCCCAGAAACTGGTTACCACCCATAAACCCACCGAGCATCCGTGGGCATTGAAGTCGCAGACGGACTTCCTGGATCCCCTGACCATCAACGATGGGCTGATGAAGGAGCAGAGGACCACCACCAGCAGCACGAGCTCCACTAGCACCTCGACTTCCACCACAGCGGTTCCGTTTGTTCACAGGACGACCAATCCAACACCATCGCGCTACGAGTGGGAGGACATATTCCGGAGCTACGACATCCCCAGAGATGCCTTGCCATCGAGCAGCGGTCTCCAGAGGATCGCCAACAAGCTGTTCGGCGGACTTAACGAACAGGAGGCGCTGCATCTGCGAAATGTGATGGCCAAGGCGGAGCACGACCGCCAGGTACTCAGTCTGCTGCTGCTGCTCATCCAGACCTGCGACGACCACAACGGCAAGGCGCTGGAGAGGAGCAGGAAGCACCTGCTGAACGCCCTCATCGACATCGACAGCAAGAGCGCCAGGCAGCGGCTGGCCACCACCACGAACCGCGTCCCGGTGACCACGTTCCGACGAGGTGGCTCCGCCGGCGGCGAGTACTTCACCAGCACCACGCCGGGCTACACGACAACCACGGACCTGCCCACCACCACGGGATCGGGCAGCTACGAGGAGACCACCAAGTTCGAGATTCGCGTCGAGGATCTGGAGGAGGGAACGACGACGACGACGGCCCCGCTGCTGGAGGTCAACTCGGACCGGAGGGCCCTGGAGCTGCTCAAGTCATTATATTCGCTGGCGTCCAAGTTCAGCAGCAGGCGGTAGAGCGAGGATGGCGGCGGTTCCTAGACCTTGCGAGTTAATGCCTAACTTTAGTCAACTCCACTTACTCCTCCAACTTTCCAGTTCGATTATCTCTTCCTTTGATTTTCACTCCGAACCAATTACCAGTTACCAGTTACTTGTTAATGGACTTCGATTAGCCAATGCAGTTCGCGCAATTAGTTTGTAAATATGTAATCGAAATACTCGAGGACGAGGGTCCTGAAAATACTCCCGCGCCCGAAGCAGGCATAGACTTGGTTGTTCCTGATGCCCAGCCAAGCAGTTTCCGTTTAAGATTAAAACCGAGAGTTGTATTAAATAGTTTCTTACTGCTTAGTCTTAACGAACGAGAACACTTTCCATCCAATAACCAGTGTCCAGTATCCCGTATCCAGTAGGAACGATCTGTTCGAACAATCTGTACGTCTTGCTGTCTGTTTGTAAATATTTATTTAAACTTAATAAAGTACATATAAAAATATACAATTGAACTTTTCAACTGGGGAACACAAATCAGAGATGAATGGCGAACTGATTAAATCATTACTTATGCCATTAGTTAGGCTCTCCAATAAGTCAACCGCTGATGTCCCAAGAGTCCACTGAGATCTCCGCTTTTGCCTTGACACAAATCCAACGGTCTTTGCGGTTTCCAGCTCTAATATAAATCTTCGGTAAGGTCAAACCGAACCAAAGTCATGCCAGCGATCATGTAATCGGGCGAAATTTAAATATTTCTCTCATCGTCGCATGCATTGGCAAGAAAATCAAATTTGCCGCACTCAAGGACAAGTCGAATCAGATTGAAATTGCATCGCACTTGAAGAGGCCATAATATTGAATTGATCATCGTATACGTAACTTATATTACGTATACGTCATGTAGGGTCTCGCTGATATATGGATTCTGATAACTGGCCGCAGCCCCCAAACAATGGATAATCCAGAGTCGTAAATCTGCTAAAGCGCAAGCACAAACGAACTGACGAACTGTCGTCGGTGTTTGGGGCAGCTGCCACATAAATATGGCAAAGATGCCGCATCCAAGCCGGGCTTTCGAATCTGTATAAATTTCTAAGACCGTTCTGAGTTCGCCTGCAGTTGATTCTCAAGTTTTGGACAGTTCGCAGGTCGGTCGGCGAGCGAACAGGATCAATTGGCTTTCTGACCAGGACCAGCTCAGCAGCGCGGATTCTCCCCCAGCATGTCGCAAGTGCCCCTGCAACGCGGCCCGTGCGTCGTGGCAGGTGAGTTGGCCAACAAAAACAAAAGGCGGCGCTGACCCAGACCCAACCCACTGCGGCGCGTAACTCAACAGTGACGAGCGATCGGCTGTCCGCCCCATCACTATTAGCACTTCCTTTGGAGGGGCGTCTGTCTGTCTAAGTTTTTGCTGCCTTGCATATTTACGAGGCATGCGTCTTGCATCTTGCAGCTTGCGGCCGCACCGATCACCGACTGCCGCAATTCTTGGCAGCCAATTGATGTTGCGGTGCGTTGTTTCAGCAATTGGCACCGTGGAACATTGGAGTTAAGGGGTCTAGTAATATGTTCGAACTGCAGTTTTTGGTACATTTACACAACCGGTGAAGAACTCCAGCGTAAAGTGTCTGTTTCGGCTATTTGAAAAACAAATTTTTCCTACTCAAAACCAAATAGACATTTAAATATTATTTTAGCTGCAATTGACTCGGTTCTCTAAAAACCATAAAATGTGGTTACAATTTTTACAGCTGTGTAAGAAAACCAAGTTTGCTTTACTTAAACAAAACAGTATGGAAAACATAAAAACATAAATAGCAGAATCTCTAAAGTTTCAAAGATGCCGGCTTTGAAAAGAAGTTACAATTTTGACAACTGATGACTACAAAATGTTAGTTGAGTTTAAATTTTATTGGTACAAAAAAGTGACAAATTGAGTGTGAGTCTTTTGCTCATATATTTTAAACTGTTTAAGCCCCCAATTTAACGATACACTTGTTGTTTTTCATAAGTAACTCTATATGGGATAAATCATTACAAGCACACTAAGCGAATTACCAAGCATATTACACCATTTAATGTTTAAATTATTATTTGACATTGTGGTAGAATAGAGACAATTCCATTAAAATGGTAACAGCTTTAAAAATTTTTTGCGAAAGAAAACCCAATAAGTCAGAGTTAAAACCACTGTTCCCCCAGCTTGGGAGTAGGAAGCTGATAAATAAAGATCGCGGTGCAGAACCGTCTAAGCCGCACTATCAGCGCCCAGAATCGCGACGTACTTGGCCTTAATATGGGCTGCGAAACTCTTGGCTGCCATCGCCATCGATGGCTGGCAGGGCGTTCATTTCCATTTGGTGCGTCGGCGGTTCCACAGCTCGGGGAAGATCTTGACCAGACTCCGCACACGGTTAGAAAGCGTTAATGTTGGCCCGTCTGTATATTCCAGTTTTGGTGCTGCTCTGGAGCGGCGGCTTGGCCCAGTTGCAGGTGCAGGTGAGTTACAAGGATGCACCTGGAAATCTCTTATAATCCCGATTATCCTATCCCTTTTCATAGGCTCAAAGTGGATACAACTATGGGCGACCCGAGGTGGCGAATGTGGGTGGTGCCACGGCTGGAGGTCGCTTGACTCCTGCTCCGTATCCCACCGCCGCCGCCATTCCACTGACTCCTGCTCCGGCCACCACTGCGTATGGAGCGGGCTTGTTTCCCTCCCCAGCCGTTGGATTCACACCCACTGGCCAGGCCACCACTGCCTTCGGTGCCCCCGCCGTCGTGGGATCCAGTGGCGCAGTCAGTCAGCCGAGGAGACCTTCGCCCGGTGGAATACCCGCTCCATCGTCACGAGGTGGACCCTACGGACCGCAGACCTCGCAGTATGGAAACACCCCAGGGGGCTCGGCGATTCGGGTTCCGAGTGGAACTGGCGAAAGCGGAGACTACAGCGATTCCGATGGGGATTACTCCGCGATTCCGGGAGTGCCTGGAGTGGATTACCCCATTTACGCCCAGGTGCCGCGCACCAACTTCGATTGCTCGCAGCAACCCCTGCCCGGATACTATGCGGATATAGAGGCCCAGTGCCAGGTGTTCCACATCTGCGCTCTCAACCGGACGTACTCCTTCCTCTGCCCGAATGGCACCGTCTTCAGCCAGGAGACGCTGGTCTGCGTGTGGTGGAACCAGTACGACTGTGTCTCGGCACCCAGTCTATATGCGAATAACGCATATATTTACGACTATTCCGCGGGAAGTGGCTCGACTCTGGGATCATCCAACGCCAACAATGCCTATCGACCGGCTGCTGCTTCCACGACCGCCTTCGGGGCCCCAGTTGCCACGACGGGAACCCTTCGGTCGACCGGAGTGCCACAGGTTGCTGGTTATAATGCCGGTCGGGGGTCCTATCCATCGGCCACGCCCACGCCAGCCGCCCAGAACCAGAGTCCGTATGGAGCAGGTGCCGTCCTTCGACCGGCCATCGTTCCGAGCGGTGGAGTCAATCGACTTCCGCCAGCTGGAGCTGCCGTGGGTCTCCTGGCCACCGCCGCTGGAGCTCTGCCCGAAAATTCGGTGGCTGGCTTTGGCCAACAAGCGCCAAATCAGCTGGTGGCAGGTGGTAATCGTGAGTACCTTCCTCCTGCCAGCATTGGTCAGCAACGGACGCGCGGAGGCACTAACGCATAGTTATCGCGAAACTGGCAAACCCCTGGCACCTGTACCCGGTTATATGGCATTCAAACTAGCGACCCTAGAGTTAACCATTTTAGAATGTTAGGAGCTCCGAACATTAGTTTTAGCAATTAGTTTTAAAGCCCTTTTATGAAAATATACTGAAAAGAACGCCTTTACAGATAAATCCTTTGGATAATATGAACCTACTTTGTAGGTCGGAAACAATCAATATTTCATACTATAAAAACTGGGGAGAAATTTTGTGGCTATCGAGGAAGCCCAAAAAATTAGTCTGGCGAAAGTTTTAACCACATCATCACCTTGAATGAAAAGGAAAATTTATAAACGGTTGACATTTTGTTCTTACTTCAAACATATGGAAGTATAACTTATATTAAAAGTATAATATGAAATCATGTCCTATCTGTAGTTTATTGAAGTGCACTAAGAAAATCAATTTGTAATGAATGTTTGTCCTTCGTTTGTGGAGTTCCGCGCAGAAGTTTACCGCACTCCTGTTTAAAATCCGACCGTACATACAATTGTTTGCCCTTTTTAAGTTTGGGTTGACCAGCCTTTGGAAGTGGTATTGTCGGATTGAAAGCCATCTGTGTGCTGTCATACTGGGTGAACAACTCGTGTGAGGTTCTAAATGAGCAAAATATTATTGTTATGTTCACAAGGGCAACTATATTAGGAATGCTTACAGCTTGCCGATTTCCGTGGGCAGCGCTCCCTCGCCGGAGGCTGGCACTCCGTTGGCAATGTGAACGGCCATGCGTCGCACCGTGGGATGATAGTGTCGTGCCAGGAGGGTGAGCTCATAGAGCGTCGTGCTGGCCGCATTGCAGTACTCGGGATCATCCAGTTCAGGGTCATACCGACCTGATCCTATGCTAGTATCCGTATCGAGTAGATTATCCAGAACGGACGTGAGCTGGAAGGTCTGTTTTATGGTGCCTAGCGTGGCCAGTGTGCCATTATGCAGCAGATGCAGACTTCCAATGAGCAACCGTTTGACAAACGCCATCAGACGCTGCTGACTCATATTTCGACGCCGCTTTACCAGCACTTCATCTAGGGTTTTCAGAATAATGGTAAAGTCGTCGTGGTTCTTGCCCGCCTGCACGGCCAACATGTTCCGATAAAAGTGCTGGTAGAATCGGATGGGATCAATGTTGAGCACTTCTCCCTGTCCGGAAAGGATCACAAAAATTGTCTGAACGCAGTGCAATCGCTCCCGATACCCCAGCTCTTCTTGATCCTCCAAAATTCGATTAAGCACATCGATCAAGTCCGAGAAGAAGTCCAGATTAATGACGTGGGCAAATCTAATACACAAGAAATTATTTTTGGACAGATAAATATAAAAGTGTACTCACTCTGCCAAACCCTCGAGAATGGCGCTCAAAACACGAGAAGTGGGATCGTTCTTTAGCACCCGGAAATATATGGTGAACACCATCTTGATGATCTCGGTGAGCTTCTGATGTTTGGCCTGCTTGTTTTCCTCGGCACGGGTCTCTTCCAGCTCTCTGTTAACCTCGGTAAGTTTCTTCCGCCTCTTGCGCTCTTTTTTGGACAAACTTAGCAAGCGTTGACGATGCGACTCTAGTTTCTTTTGCTTCAGCTCGTTCTCCTTCTCAGCATCCAGGTTTACGCCCTTGATCTTCAGGCCCATAAGACAGGTGATGCACTCGACATGGACATTATTCTGCTTTGTTTTGATCAAGTGGTTGATGCGCCGGACTATGAAGAGGGTAATCTCCAATCGCTTGTCGTTGGAAAAGACTGTGCGGAAACACTGATTAACTGCCGTTCGCATCTCTTGGTAATTACAATTCAGCATGTAGACCAGCAGCTGTGCAATGTTTTGGACATAGTTAAAGTATGGATGGGCCACAAGCAAATCGCACATGCATTGCACCGCCACGGTGGCTAACTTTACGGTCTGGGGAGTCCTTAGACCGCCTCTCCTGTTCACCTGCGCCGTGATCTGCTCCAGCTTCTGCAAAAACTTCTTGAACTGCTGAAGCAGGGCGTTCTCAAAGGTCACACGATCCAGTGTAGCCTTGCGCAGCGTCTGCATCTTCGTGTCCACCTGACCCACTCGATACTCGGGCAAAATGTCCTTGAAGATCTCGGTTACAGAAATTATAGCCAGCTTTCTCACGGACATTAGGTTTGCCTGCCTGGTGGCTGGATTGATTTCGTCCATGAGTTCGTATAAGGCATGAAAGTTGCGCATCTTGTCCTCTGGTTTTTCGAGCAGTCCGGAGCAAATGATTCCGATGCGGTATTTTTGGCGCTCGATCTCTTGCTGGCGGGCAATCAGCAGATCCGTGGTAGAAATGAGTTTTTGAACGGGTACTGCAGCCGCCCCCTCCACATCGTTGACCACATCGTCATCGCTGTCTTCGAACTCCGTGTCTCCATCTTCATCATCATCAGAATCTTCTTCCTGCTCCTCATCTTCGTTTTTCTTTTTCTGCTTGGGCTTTGGCAGGTAATCAACTTCGGTGGTACGGGTAATGATCTGACCATCTCTGGACTTAATGGGCAGCAGATCTAGCTTTATTTTGAGGGCCTCCTGCTCTTTTTTGGTGTCTGAGGCATAGGCCTTTTCCAACCCAACAGATTGCCCCTGATCAGGGTCCTCTTCGCCGGCCGTTTTTGCCTTCCGCTTGCGTTTATTGGCCTGCAGGAGGGCAAGATCATCGCCGTCCAGCATGTCTGCAACGTTATCCAGCATCTCGTCGTCGCCATCCTCGTTGTCTTCCTCCAGCGGATCTAGTCCCAGGGAAGCTAGCTTGTTGTGCTTCTTGCGCTGGGCTAAATTATCGCGCTTTCTTGCCTTCTGGGAGAATATATTCTGGCCCTGTTCGCGTTTGGAAGTCAGTTGGTCGCGTTTCTGCTTCTGTTTTTGTTGTTGCTGCTTTGAGATTGGTTTCTTCTTTGATTTCAGGTGAGCAGCTCGCTTCACCGAGCTGATTTTTACCTTTTTCTAAATGCAATTTGGTTAATACAAGCTGAAAAAGTAATTGAAGTCATTTACCGTTCCCATTGTGACTGTTTTAATTTAAATTAAATAAAGAGTTTTAGATGTTGACTTTTAAAATGCCGAGCACATGGAAAGTCAAGAGAACTGTCCACTTGTTGGTGAAATATCAACAGCTGATGTCGGGCTGACAACTGGACCGCTTGTCTAACCAGTATTTTTTCAGTATTTTTTAACCTTCTATAAAATTTAATAATAGAGATCCCAAACATGCTTGATTTGTAATATTAATATTAAATAAAATAAAAAATATACCAATTATGCTAGATTTGTAATATTATTATTTTCAAAATTTTGTTAAACTATGTTACTTAGTTATTAAATATCCAAAAAATATATTATTTCAACGGTATTCTTGTCCATCGGTGACATGCAGAAAGTAGACATATTATGGGCCATGTGCTGCGGTCACACTAAACATCTCATTGTAAATAAACAAATGTCTGACGAGGAAGAGGATTATATGTCTGACAAGTTCCTGGCTGGGTGAGACCTTTAAACCCACTAACAACATGACTGTAACGATAACCAACTAGGTTGCAGGATGTTCGGCCCAGCCTGGTGCATAATCGTGGTACAAAGCGGCAGATTGAAGTTGAAACCAAAAAGGATGAGCTGAAGAAGCGGCAACGCGAGGCAACTATTGCCTCCGGAAAAGTGGATAATGAACGCCTTCAGCAGTCGCTAAACAAACCAATATCTGCCAATAACAAGGGCTTTCAGCTGCTAGCCAAAATGGGCTACAAAGCAGGTTCTGGATTGGGAAAGCAACCGGATGCACGAACGGAACCAGTGGGGATCACAATGAAATCTGGCCGAGGAGGCCTAGGACGCGAGGCAGCTGTGGCTGAGTTGACCCTGAAGCGCCAGGAGCTGCGGAGAGCTCACCTCCTTAGCAAGGCGGGCATTGAATCCCATGAAGAAATCAGTACCGAGGCATACCGGAAACGTGCGACACTCAAAGCAGAAGAGCGAAAATTGCAGTACGACATAAAGCGTTGTCAGCAGACTTGCGAATCCTTAGATGTAAAGGCAGGTGTTTTGGAACCAGATCTGGAGTTCTTTTGGCCTCCCAAACCAAAGGAGGAAGATGAAACAGAGGACGATGAAGAAGAAGAGGAGGCTCCTAAGGAGGATCAATATAATCCATCGGAGCAACTGGAACTACTCACTGGCTACCTGCGCACTGCTTATTCCTTTTGCTATTGGTGTGGAACGCATTACGAGGATGCTGAAGATCTGACTTCGAATTGTCCAGGTCTTACACGCGACGATCACTAGCTCCAGATAATAAAAAAAGAAAAAAATAGATTAAGAACCCATTATTACGGAAATCTCTTTATGTTTAAAATTATTTTACAATACATAATTAAAAAACAGTTAGCGGTGTATCTGGTTCGGTGAAATGTCTATAAACGAGCTGGAATTTTGTAAGTGGGAGCTACAAACGACCCTCGAGCTTTTGTATTAGATCGTGGGTCCGTTCGATAACACTATAGATAAACGGACGTTCCATGGGGTCGGTGCGTAACATATAGTTGATTAATTCGTGCATGTCCTAGAGGAAAAATCTATTAAAGTTTGCTTTTTGGCTAAGAAGATTTTCCCTCACCTCTGTGTAGATAGAATCCTCTGGAATGTTTAAGTTTCCACTCAGCACAGCCAAAGCCACGCTGTCACCGCGCTCGTAGATGGGATCGTAAGGTGAATTAAAATAGCACATTGCATACAGCACGCAACCAAGACTCTAAAAATTAAAATCAACATTTTAAAAGGTACTTTTTTCTTCTCTTTCACTAATTTGTTACCCATATATCCGTCCGCTCGTCAATGGTGCAGTACGTTTTCACGGTAAACAGCTCCGGTGCCCGGTAGACAATAGAGCTTCTCTCCTCGGCTTCGTCCTGCAGCCGCTGGGCGTCCGTTTGGCCCACAATCTGCAGCCGAGCCTCGGTCATGGAGCCGAGATCCACAATTATGGGCTCAAAAGAGTCTGACAGACAGATGTTGGCTGTCTTTAGATCACGGTGTGCTAGTGGTACTGGCTTTGCCTCGTGTATGGCCTTCAGTCCCTCGCAGACGCCCAGGAAAATCTGCAGGATCTGGGCCTCGGGCATGTGATCCTGTTTCCGCGAGCGCAGCTGCAGGTGGTCCGCAAGAGATCCATGTTTGTAGTAGGGCAGCACAATATACAGAGTGCTTGTCGTGTTGATGACGATGTCCGCCTGGCCTTTCAGCTCGTAATCCACCACCCGAATGACGTTGTCAGAGTCGATTTTCCGGCAGTTTTCGATTTCCCGCAGGGCTATATTCTGGTCGTCGATGCTGTGGCAGGTGATGCGCTTTATCGCGTAGCTCCGTCGCGTGGAGGCGTTCTCCCCAAGGTCGATCAGACTGAAGCCCCTGAACAGATACCAATAGATTAGATATTTGGGAGGAGATAGTAAAGCTTGTTTCTGTGTTACAAACCCTGTCGCCAGCCTGTCGCGGATTGTGTAGCGGGATCCGTTGATGTTTAGGGTCTCCTTTCGGCAAAAGCAGCCTCGTTTCATAATCAACGTCCAGCCTATACTCTGCATTTTATTTAAATTACGCTAGGGACTTTATAACTTTAAGCTTAACAACTAGTTTAATTCAAGTACAAAATCTAAATAAAAAAGCGAAAGCTGAAGTGCAACGTTTATGCAGAAGACAATAGACGATGTTCCGTGATTGGGTTTTGGATGGTTTAATTCAAGAGTGAGGTGAATAAATATGTGCTTTTAAAGTTTGAATTTGTACTTTTCCTTGGGTTTTTAGCTTTGCCCATACGTAAAATTTTGATGTAAACGATTTATTAGTTTGCCGAAATGCAGTTATAAATTAATTTTCGTTTATGCCACCGCATAAACACAGATTTACCAGTGCGCCGAACAGCTGATCCAAGAACAGGGTGGTTGTGTGTGCCATGTGGCGGTTAGCGTTGCCACCTAGTCTCAATTGGTTGGCTGATTGCGGATTTCTTCATTCGCAGAACATATCTTCAAATTTTTGGGATTCAATCAATTACAAGCATGGAGAATGAAGCTTGGCAGGATCTGGTTGGCATAAGCGCCGATCCGCCCGACAGACGAGACAAGTGCGAGCAGTGCAAGTGAGTGGTAAACCCGAGAATCCCCCACTGTGATCTCAACTCAAATGATGAAATCTTTCTCAGACGGCCGGTGGTTGTTTGCTGGTGTCCGGCTTTGCCGCATCCACCGGAAGCGGTGGCCTCACAGATTGTGATCCTGCAACATCCCGCCGAGGAGAAGAGATCGCTGCGCACAGCTTTAATGCTCCAGTTGGGTCTGGAGCCAGGAAAGTGTGTGGTGTACAAGGGAAAGCGTTTTCCCAACCACAAGAACCACGCTGAGCTGCAGAAAATTCTGGACTCCCCACAGACGCTTCTCCTGTATCCCAGCCGGGACTCAGTTCCGTTGGAGCAAGTGGACCGCAGCGCCGGTCCCTACACCCTGGTGCTCATCGATGGCACCTGGCCGCAGGCGAAGGCCATCTACGCCAGCAGTCCAGCGTTGCATCGACTGCGGCAGGTGAAACTCATCGCAGTGGGCATTAGCGACTACATCATCCGCACCCAGCCAACGGAGGGCTGCCTCAGCACCCTGGAAACCGCTGCCCAGTGCCTGGCAGTGCTTGAATCTCGGGCAGAGCTGCGGCAAACACTCGTGCGTCCGCTGCACACGTTATGCAAGTTTCAGTTGGACAATGGAGCCGTGGAGCACCAGTCTAAAGAGTTCCTGCTTAAGAACAACCAGTACCCCAAACCCATTGGCAAGCGGCTGAGCCGGCTGCTCAACTCAACCAGGAACGCCGCGGAAAACGAGGATACGTGATTGCAAAGCAAGAAAACACTGGAGGAGTTGCATGTGCCTGCGGTTTATATCCAACTAAGTGCATTTGTGGTAGCAATATTTTGTTTTGTAACGCTTATATTATAATTGTGTGTTGATTAGTCCAAGACTTAAACTTTGCTGATGCTCAAACGGTGGGTTTGTTCCTAGCATCCGTGAGGGCTCTAATGAAGACGCACTTGACGATAGAGTAGCCACGCACGCAGGCATTCGTCTCGTCCTCTGAGGATTGCAGATTAACAAGTTTAATTGCTTCTGATCACGTCCTGTATATCACTTACTGCCTTCGGCCTCGCAAGCCTCAATGGAATCGCCAGTGGCTGGCCAGACATATTTGCGCACCAAGTCCGAATTCAGCTTGTAGTCCGTCATCAAACCAGACTTTTCAAAGAAGCAGTTGAAATAACACTGGAAAGGAAAACTCATGATCGAGGGATAAAGGATCTGCATAGTCCACCTACCATGCTGGTTGCCTTGTCCTTGTCGTCAGGCAATTCTCCCGTGCTATTAAACTGCAACACATTGCCTGAAAAAGATCATTAATCAGGCATCCTTTTTTACGCTTCATATTATATCTTAGATTATATGGCGGACTCACTCGATGAAGTTATGAAACTAGCATTGCAGTTCCTGTTAACCTCTTCAAAATCTACATAGTCAGCTTCTCTAGGAGCTGGTGTAGTAGTGGATATATCATCTATATCGCCATCAAAGCTATCATAGTTTATAATGAAAATGTCGCCATTATCCTTGGCTTGATCCTGAAGAGCCTTGACACAACCCACGCTACACAAGCTCAGCAAAGCAAACAAAACCCAAGTTTTAACTGTTACGGAAATCATTTCGAACTACCGGAATGCCAGTTGTGTTACAGACGATCCCCTTTTATAGTAAAACTTTTGGTGATATTTTTATACAAATAACTTTGATCATGCCATGCACAGTTAGAACAATTTTATGCATTATTTCCGGAAATTGAGTACCAATAAGTTAGAATTGAATAAACTTCACACAAAAGAAACTAACATTTGCAGTGATTGATCAATTAAAGATAATTTTGCTACTGCGAAATGAACAGTGGATAACCGTAACTATAGTGATATAATGTGGACCACCCATCCACTTACCGTATGGAATCATATTCTCAATCGCACAGGCAACACGAGCCTCGTAAAACTGGGCGTGCCTTTGCATCTGGACTTCTGGGTCGTCGGGAACCAAGTCCTGTGCAGCCACCCAAACCAGATATAGAACCCCGATCAGCAATAAAGATCTAATCATTTTGGAAGACTGACTGGTGAGTGGTGCTTTTGACACCTATATATACTGATATTCACTGATCGTGCGCTAAATGTTGTCAAATTCATGAGATCGTTTGGTAGTTAAACTAAATTGTTGCACTTTAATCGAACAATAAATACATGCAATATACGCGTACACAGAAACATAGGACACCATTCATCCATGCAATTGCAAAGTGAACGATAAACGAAATTTACATTGTTGATGGGTCACAAGAATTAGATAGTTTAAATATAGTTATTAAGAGACCGACAAACGACACGCAAAATTCACATGTTCAGTGAGTCTACATAAACTACGGAGTTTAGGTGTAGTGTTTAAATGGTCAGCTTAACATTTATTACAAATTTATTACATTAAAAGTTATCAACATAGCCGAACTTCTCTTAAACTGTATATTTTTGAATTCAAATGTGGGTTTTATAGGTGTAATTTAAGTTATTTAAGAGTTACAAGCTTAGTATTTTGTAAACATAAAAACCAAGTAATTGTCATTCCTTTAACTCGAGCTTGACTTTTAGATCGTAGCTAAACGTGCAGCTTAAGAAGTTCGACTGCATTTTGAGTGGATCGCAGTAGTTAGTTTAAAAGTAGTCTGTTAACTTAGAGAGAACAATTACGGAGATTGCGCAACGCGGTTTGCTAGAGTGAGAAGCCTTTGGATGGGATTGGATCGGATTCTGATGGATTCAACCAAGGTGGTACGATAGAAAGGTTTAGTTTTGGATCTAAGTGGGGCCTTATGTGTAATTTCGCTTAAATTTTTAGTCGCGGTAATTTCGCTTGGATTGTGATTAAATTACTCTATGCAACGTCCACGTCGCATCCACGCGTCAGACCTTGGCGCCCCAGGCCCTCTTCAGCAGGTAGGCGCCCTTCTCGGCGATCATCACGGCAGGTGCATGGGTGTTCCCGGCGGTCACCTTGGGCATGATGCTGGTGTCCATGACGCGCAGTCCCCGGATACCGTGCACCCTCAGCTCGTGGTTGACCACCGCCATGGGATCGTGGCTGGGACCCATCTTGCAGGAGCCCGCCTGGTGGTTCTCCGGACCCGTGTTCTGCCGCACGGCGCACTCCCAGTAGGCATCGCTGCCGAAGGTAGGTGCCTCACAGCCCTTCACCACCGTCTTGTCCAACCGCATTCCATATTGCTTCAGCGGCGATGTTTGCGACAGCCGGATGGCGAACTTGATGCCCTCCACCAGCGTCTTAACGTCCCGCTCGTCGGTCAGGTAGTTGGCCACGATGCGTGGCGGTTCCAAAGGATCAGCGGAGCGCAGTCCGATGAAGCCACGCGACTTGGGATTCAGCACCGCCGGGAAGATCTGAATGGCCCGCGAGTTGTTCGAGAGCAGTTCGCCCACTTGTCCCGTGCGAGCACAGCTGGCCAGGTAGCCACCGAAGTAGAGTTGGAGATCAGGTAGATCCGGTCGGTCGGCCCAGCGAGTGGCCAACTTTCCTGTCACATCCGAGATTCCAGTGCCGGACATGAGTCCATCCCGGAACAGCAAGTACTCCATGGCCGTGGCCCAGTTGAGAGGAGCCGTGTCTGCGTCGTCGATGAAGAAGTTGGTGAAGTAGGCCACGTGGTTGTGAAGGTTCTTTCCCACGCCAGGAAGATTGTGCACCGGTCGCACGTTCACCTGCTGCAGTTCGTCCTTGGGACCCACTCCGCTCAAGAGCAGGATCTGTGGTGAGTTCACAGCTCCGGCACTCAGAACCACCTCCTTCTTGACGAGGATCTTGCGCATGCTGCCGAACTGGTCGCTCACTTCCACTCCCAGAACGTTCTTGGTGTGCGGATGGATGAGGATCTTGGTGGCCGTCGTGTTCAGCAGGATGTGCAGGTTGTTGCGCATACGAGCTGGTCGGAGGAAGGCCCTGGCAGAGCTGTATCTGATGCCATTGCGAGCCGTCATCTGGGCAATCATGAATCCAGTGGAGTTCTGACCATTGAGATCCTGCACCGAGAAGCCCATTTCCTCGCCGGCCTTGAGAATTGCGTAGGAGAGCGGTGGGTTGTACGGGAACTTGCCAACGGGCATCAGGCCTCCCTTGGCATGGTACTCCGTGCCCACGTCATCCAGCTCAAGGTTATCCTCCGACTTCTTGAAGAACGGCAGTACGTCGTTGTAGGCCCATCCAGGGTTTCCCTGTGCCGCCCAATCATCGTAGTCCTCGCGGTTGCCACGGATGTACATCATTCCGTTCATCACCGAGGTTCCGCCGAGCACCTTTCCACGTGGCCAATAGCAGCGCTGCTCCATCGAGGACAGACAGGCCATCCGCTCCGGTTCCGTGTTGTAGCGGTAGTCGATGTCGCTGCCAATGAAGTTGAGGAACATCGAGGGAATCTGGGCACCCACAGGTTCATCGCCACCTGGAAAAAACAGATGAGATCATATACATATGATTGTTTTGCTTATATTGCTTGCAAATAAAAATTATCTATGTCATTTAACGATGGGCTACGTATAATATATATTATATATTTATATGTATAAGACTTAAACGATTTATAGGAAGTTGCCACATTAGAAATAAAAACATAATGGCTCAATCGCTTCCAAGTTCGAGTTGTCGGTAGATGGTCATCTGATCTAGTTTTAAATAACTAATGGCCTCCGTTCAAAAACAGAGATTAAAATTGGATCGAATAACCATTTTTCCATAAAATATTATGCCTTGGAATCGATATACACTGCCGCTCAACTGAATAGGTTCATGATCTCAGAGGAAGTAATTTGTCTATAATTCCTAAACCAGTGAACCGATTTCCATAATTTTTTTTCTTTAACTCTTGAATCATTTTATAATAAAATGCTGAAGAAGGTTTTTCAAAAACATATTATTTATTCCTTATATAATTTTTCTTCTGAAAGGTTAACAAAATTCATGATTTTTTTTGGGTCATCTGAATAGGTTCAACCTAAAACAATTAACATTATTTAGGTAACCAAGGATAATATTCATATTTTTGAACTTAGCTGATACTAATGGACATTTTTGAAGTACATTTTACTAATTTTAATCAAAAGTGAACCCTCCGTTGTCCGATATAACATCAAATACACGATCGGAAAGCGAGCTTTACAAATTGTGCAGTATTTGCAGTAAAATTGTTGTCCAGGCTGTTTTAATTGCCTTAACTAAAGTTGTTTTGGAATAAAATTACCTGCCTCCTTCATATATCTTGCGCGATAGCAACCCCCATACGTTTTCGATTATATTAAGGTCAGGTGAATATGGGGGCCATTCAAGTAAGTCCACATTTTGAGCCTTAATCCACTCTTTTACCACCCTAGCTGTATGATGGGAGCGTTATCCTGCTGGTAAGACCATTTGATAAAGTGAAAAGTATTTAAAAAATCAGGAAACGCAGCCTTTATGATAGATTTGTGGGTTTCCGCGCTCGTTTTGCAAGTAACAAATTAAAGGTCGCAAGTGCCAAAGACTGATACCGACCCCCACACCCAAATCAATTTAATTTAGAAGCTTAAATCAATAGCTACAACTATTATTATCATGATCTTCGAAAGGAAGAGCATTTCCTTAGCCGTCGACATAGCTGTGAGGGTGGGGTAATGGTGTGGGGGTCGGTATCAGTCTTTGGCACTTGCGACCTTTAATTTGTTACTTGCAAAACGAGCGCGGAAACCCACAAATCTATCATAAAGGCTGCGTTTCCTGATTTTTTAAATACTTTTCACTTTATCAAATGGTCTTACCAGCAGGATAACGCTCCCATCATACAGCTAGGGTGGTAAAAGAGTGGATTAAGGCTCAACATGTGGACTTACTTGAATGGCCCCCATATTCACCTGACCTTAATATAATCGAAAACGTATGGGGTTGCTATCGCGCAAGATATATGAAGGAGGCAGGTAATTTTATTCCAAAACAACTTTAGTTAAGGCAATTAAAACAGCCTGGACAACAATTTTACTGCAAATACTGCACAATTTGTAAAGCTCGCTTTCCGATCGTGTATTTGATGTTATATCGGACAACGGAGGGTTCACTTTTGATTAAAATTAGTAAAATGTACTTCAAAAATGTCCATTAGTATCAGCTAAGTTCAAAAAATATGAATATTATCCTTGGTTACCTAAATAATGTTAATTGTTTTAGGTTGAACCTATTCAGATGACCCAAAAAAAATCATGAATTTTGTTAACCTTTCAGAAGAAAAATTATATAAGGAATAAATAATATGTTTTTGAAAAACCTTCTTCAGCATTTTATTATAAAATGATTCAAGAGTTAAAGAAAAAAAATTATGGAAATCGGTTCACTGGTTTAGGAATTATAGACAAATTACTTCCTCTGAGATCATGAACCTATTCAGTTGAGCGGCAGTGTATAGCTGCATACATTTGCCATAATTACTTATTTCTCTTTTTATAAAGGTAAATAATTACAATCCATTAGTAGGAAGTAATCAAATTTGTATATTTAAACGCCAAATTCCTACCGGTAAGGTAAGAAGTATGCACCTATGCAAAACACCAATTTAATCAAATCAACTGGTCGTGAGTCTTGATTAATAGACCCTAACCGCCCATTAAGAGGCAGTGCAAACAAACTCCGACTTAACCTTCGGCACTTGGGTGGCCAGCCCCACTTGAGTTTGGGACATTTGAGGCACGCTTTTGCTTAACCCATGGCAATCCATTATAATTAGTATATTGGCCCAATCAGCGTTCTAGAATTTCCGTTGCGCTGAGCCCACGACTAAGGTTAATTAAATCGATTCAAGTGGATTCTTTGATTGCGAAATCATAGCGTGGGAGCCAAACAAAAAAATGTTACCGCAAAATCCTGAAGTAATAATTTAAGCTGGAGTTCCAACAAAGGAAAATTAAACAAAATAGCAAAGATTAGGAAAGAGATGCGAATATCGGCTCTGATTCATTGAGTACAAGCGTTTTATATGTTCCCCAAATTGTTAATAACTTGTTCTGCGGCAACTCTTAACATATGTCTGTGTCGCGCAAATAAAAACAAATGCGTTCTTGGTTTTTGCACCCCGGGATAAGAGAAAACAATTAACACCGGGCTATACGCATTCTAATTAGCTTGGAATGAAAGCTCAAGCAAATAAACAAGTTGCACTCCGGAGCGTCTTTAAATAAATGTTAGTCGCATAAATCTAATAAAACCTGGACTGCGAAGAATATTCACTTCAAGCATATTTTGTCTCGAAGTGTGACGAACATTTGAACTAAACTTGTTCTCTCCAAGTGTGATAAATGTTTTGCCGTATCTATCATAAAGTAAGAAGTAAGAACATAGTTCCTGGCAACAGGGTTTGAAACACGTGCTGGGCGAAAAGTTGAGCCATTACCCCGAGGCGAGGTCATTCCAGGGTTCAGTGTGCCAGGCACCGGCTTCAACTCTTCAATCAAAGAAACCTTTTAGTCTTTTTTCCGGCATGCTTTTGGCATTGACTAAATTTGACGAGTTGCATGTCTAATAAGTGTCGAGCTAGTCAGAATTAGCTTCTGCGGCTGAGTCGGAACAAAGCCACTTTAGCCGGGACTTATCTGCTCATACTGATATGGTCGTATAATAATAAGCCAGGTAATGGCCACAACTAATTGCACTTCGGCCTCAGGCATTGTTGTATAATTAACGCCGACGCATTGACGACTTCGAATGTGTTTCTTTCGCGCTTTTCGGCCCCTCGTAATTAGTGTAATTAGTGACGAGGCGTAAAAATTGTCGCTATAAACAATTACTTTGCAAAAGATTGAAAAACTAAGGGAGTCCCACAAAGTAAGCCAAGCGGAGCCGAGAACGCTGATCGGCCAGTTTTAATGGAGCCATTAGAATGCCTTCCCAGGCCTAAAGACACTTTAGATGATTTTCCAAGCACTTTGTCTGTCGTCTAGTTAAGACATTAGCGGCAGTCGAGGAAAAATTATGATTAATGGTAGTTTTTTGTAGCTCTAGAAACGGTAGCAGATGCCATGTGAAGTAGAGCTCAACATCTCACTTGTTTATTGGTTTAAATAAATTTTGCCTTAGTCAAAAATTGTAATGTTTGCTGATTAAAACATTTAACATATATTTTATTCCTATTTTGTTTTAAGCAAGATCACTCTAATTTGTTTGTAAAAACGTAAATTATAAAGTAAAATGTAATCGTATAATGCAATATTCATTTTGATTGTGCTTTAAATATATTTAATGTATGAACTCGACTGACCTAAATAATATACTGATTAATATTATCTGGCCATAAAGGCTATATGGCAATCAATTTACCCATAACTCGTGCTAAAAAGCAAACATACGAATCAATGTAAATTATGCAGTGCTAAAAATCCTCTTAAGCTGAGTTTGCCGCATACTTGCGCCTAATTAACGAGAAGTGAATGCACTGCATTGAATATCGGCGCCGAGAAGCAGAACCAAATACGCTCGAAAGACACCCACACACTCGCTCAAAAAGATTCACGTGAAGTGCCTCAATTGTTATTCATTCATAAAAAAGGCAGCGAGGAGCAGCAATTATTGAAAGCAAAAAACCAAGTCGAGCAAAACGGGGAAAAAAAACAAAAGCAGACTAACGGCCTAAACAAAAGCTAAATCCTATATAGAGAGAAGATATTTGCATGGGCCAAGATTGCCTCCGGGTTGAGGTGGCAGCTCGTTTAGTTTACATAATGCTCGTGGCAGTTGCGGTTGCTTCTTTGCCGCCGAGTCTTGCCCAAGTGGCATTAGTGTTGCTGCCATTGTTGCAGTTGTTGCCGCTGTTAAGCTTCAATTACTTCTAGACAAATGCCACATAACGTGCCTTTAATTGCCCGTGAGCGGCGTGAGTCTATGTTGCTGGTTGCTGGATGTGCAAATGCACGTATATGTGATATATGTATCCCTTACCGGCTTCGATCAGCAAAACCTTCCATTGGGGCACCTCGGAGAGTCGGGAGGCAACCACAGAACCCGCTGAGCCGCCGCCAATGACAATGAAATCGTACTCGTAGTCCGGCTCCGATCGAAACTGCAATATAAATGCGAATAGTGTGTGTTCCGGGAAGGCGCCAAGTGGAGCCACAGTTATTTCAGCTTACCCGACTGCTGGCTCGACCGCAGGGATCCTCTAAGTCGCACTGGGAGCGGATGAAGACCTCCAGGAGACCCATGAACAGCATGAAGGCACTGCCGCCGCAAGTGGAGGCGAGGGTGGGTCCAGTGGGCACGCCCACCAAACAATCGCAGGCTGAGGGGCTGGTGGACATGTTGATATTCTGAAATTCAGGGGGAAAAGTATTTAAATTAACGATTTGAAGAACCAAGAAAATGAGAAGTCAAATACAAAAGTCGAAATAACAATGGTTGCAGGTAAAAGGTAAAGAAAGAAATTGCATATTCATTATGTTTTTATACTATGTATATGTTCGTAATTAAAGATACACTTCCTTGATAAAATTGAAAAAGTTACATTATGACTTTAAACTATATTAAATTGCACACGTTCGTGTTCTAAGTCTTTTGTTTTCCTTGCCCTATTTTCATTTATTTTAAGCCATCAAAATAATTAGTTTTTAAAAACAATTCAGTGCTTAAAGCAAAAGAATTTCAATGCTACTAAAGTAATTTATATCATTATTATGACAATTAAATTAGAAAATTATTTTCCAATCTATTACTAATGGATTTAATATATTTGTTCATTTAATTTTTTAATTTCCAGTTGATTGAGCACAAAGCCATAGGGCAAAGTCGTAAAATTTTGAGAAACCACAACATGAACTTCTGTTTAACCTTGCCCATTGAGACAAAGAGCAAAAATTATCTAAGTAATGCTCCAGCAATAGCACTGTAATTAATAAGAGTACCCACCGAGACAATGGGCGTCGTCGTCTGTCTGAATGCACACCGAAAAAGCGGCAGAAACAAGACCCAAACGAAATTGAAATCAAAAAGATACTTTTTATATCTTGGCCATTTGGCAAACAAACGGCAACTGCCGCCAGCATTGGCAATTACCGAAAGGCCAAACGGACAGGCGGACGGCCAAACGGACGGACAGAAGTCATAGCTCATCATCCGAGCGCGGCTTTTGTTCACTCGGCGGCAGCTTCTGCTGCATAGTTTCACATGACCTTAGCCCCGAGCGGCCAAAAATGTCTGGTTGGCTTCCCTTTTCTTTCCTATTTGCAATTTCGAAATCGCCGCTTGGTCTGTGCCTAAAACAGAAGCAATGAGGCTGGATGGAATTACGGTAGCCACCGACGATTGAGTAATGTGCAATATAATTATATCATTTGCTTTTCTCGTCGGTGGTCGATAGATGACCGTTTGGTCACCAAAACTGCTTTTTAAGTGGGGAAACGTGATCCATTCTGAGCTCCTTTTAGGTGGGGAAGATACCATAACAGCTTGCTAACAAAATTGCTCTTCACACACCTTTTTGGGCGGGTAATTAGCGTCCAAAAATAAAACCGAACCGATCCCCGAAATCAGTGCATTTTTGGAAGATGCTGACAACGCTTTTGACCTCAATTAACTCGAACAGCTTGAAGCAATCAAATTGCAATTTGTATCCATCCAAAAGCAGAAAACCGAAAAACAAAGCAAAAGTAATTGAAACAGAAACAGAAACTGAAGTCGAAACCGAAACTAAAACTGAAACCGAAACTGAAGCTGAAACCGAGAGTAAAACAAGAGAATCACCTAAGCGGAGATCGAGAAGATCATGCAATTGCTACAGTTCGTCTTTTTTTGGGTGCCACAATGGGGCTCGCGTCTGACATTTGGAACACGATTTTTCATTCATTTCAATTGCATTTTGGTGTCTTTCGCTTTTAAAGTTGAAGGATGCCACGAAAGTGAAGCGGATCGCGGAGCTCGGCTCGCTAAACCTAAAAGTGAGTCAAAACAAAGTCGGAGAACATACGCAACTCACGCGAGCGTGGAAAATCGAAAAGAGAGGCAGTTGACCTCGCAGCCAGTTTTCCACCAGGCTCGTAAAAGCCAGGTAACAAAGTTGCAACAGGCGAACTTCAAACGCCAAGAAAAACGCGTGCAAAAGTCGTGCAGCAATCAGAAAATTAAAAGTTGTTCGGGGCAAGTTTTGCGCTGCAAACGGAGTTTGGTCCACTTCTTTATGGCGACTCATGGTAATTTGTGGAAAATCCCGGGGATAAGAAACCGGGAATATTGCGTATATTTCAATACGTTATCGTTCGCACTTAGGCTATTTTATAACGTTAAAAGCCAGTATGATTTTGTACATATTTTATTATTAATTTAAAGATATTTTTAAAATGTTTTTTCCGGCTTTCAATAAAGAAAGTTTGTTAAGCTCAACAATAATATTAAACTTTGATATATTTAGGGATAAGAGAAAAATAATATCTTTGCATTGCTGACTGACCAAAGAAAAATAGTTTACCATTTTTATCTGTTTTCTTGTTCTTTTATACAAAAAGGCTAGTACTCATTAAGAAGTAAATATTAACAACTTGGAAACCTGTCACATAATTTGAGCTGACTTTTTTTGAACAATGAGAATTTGTCGAAAATTATTTAATTAATCAACGACATGTTTTTTGTTATCATCTGATTTTCACACTTCCTGCGTAACCTATCTGACAAGATAATCAACGGAGTTGTCATAATTACAGCTTGTTTTGTATTAACAACTTTATCGGCTGAGAAGCATGGTGCATAATATCTTGTGCACTGAAGCGAGCCGAGTGTCGATTTAAACCGACTCGAGTTGCAGTTGTCTTCTTGTGGTTTGTTTTGTACTCGCACGATAGCTTCATTGATATTGCTTGGCATTGTCTTCATTGCTGCGTTCAGTTTGAAGGTTTCTTTCAGTTGTCAGTTATTCAGTCACTCAGCCAGTCAGTCAATCAGGCAGCCAGTCAGTGGGAACAATACCGCATGTGGAGGCATGTTTTTGGGCCTCGTTATATGGTTATCTTTAGGCAGCGTCTGCCTAAGATTTGGGCATGGTTTTTCGGGTGCTTATTAATGTGGGAACCGTGCATTTATTAGAATAATAATCATAAAGTAATGCAATTTATGCGTGCCGCTTCAAAGGTGGCAGATAAAGCCCTGAGATTTTGGGTGGGTTGTGTAAGGTCCACCTTTGGATGGGTTGGGATTAGATTGGATCTTGGTAAGGCTGCTAAATAATCTTTTCAGTTGATTCGTATTCTAAATAATCTTGTGAGTGATGGTTTCTATTCTGCCTTAAAATTTTATTATACTTTGTGTAAATCACATTTTATACATCTGAAAAATGTGGAAGAAAACTAAAGATCTGCACAAGCTAGTAGAAAAATAAGCTTGCCTAAGGAAACGTCAACGTATTTTTTATTATTGGGCTATGATTGTAAAAATATATAGGCTAACCAACATTGTAAATTAAATAAACTTCGAAAAGTCTTTCAAAGCTTTCAAGGAATGCCGTTAGCTGTATCAATCAGTTAATCAAATAACGACTTGAAAGCTCATAAAAAAATAAAGCAATTTCCGAATCTCTCATCGGGTTTGAGTCAATTTTTAGTCACCAATCTCAAATTCCCCGGCTGGTCAAAATAACTCTATAATATGCGACTAAAAACTATAACAAATTTAATGCTCAACGCATTGCGGCAAATTGGAGTCATTAATTAAGCCAATGGACCTCCAACTTTGAACGGGAACGAGTTTGTATTTGATTTCGCGGTTTTACTTCTTTTCTCAAAATGAAAACTAACGGTAAATGCGCTAAAGAGATGGCAAAAAAGACAGAAAAAAATTAAAAACAGATAACATAAAAACCGAGCATAAAGTTTTCACGTTCGGGCGTCAAATTGACAAGCGGCACCAAGTTGGCGGCAAGGTGTATGAATAATTTAAAGAAAAGCCCGGTAAGCGTAAAAAGCAAATAGCCAACAACGAACAGCAAACAGCCAGTTGAAACAGATTTGGCAAAAAGTTAATAAATATAGCTGGATACACGGGGGATCTGGCCAAGAGCGAGGCCATAAATTAACACCGGCAAGACGGCCTGCTGAGGATAACGAGCCGGCAAAAGCAAAGCAAACACTGCCATCCCCCTGCATCCCCATCGATATTACGCAGCCATCGCTGGCCGCTTCGGCCATTAGAAATTGGCCAAGAAACCAGCGAGTGTGGCAAGCTAAGGCAACTGGAACTGGGGCTAAAGCTGTAAGCTGCAAGCTGCAAGCTGCAACCTGCAAAATACTATGGCAATTGCATTCGCACTCGCAGCGAAACTGGAGGAAACTGCCGCGCAATCTCTGGCCAACTTGGCCAATGTCTGACTCAAAGGCTGAGTGGCCGTCGTTGTTGTTGTTGGTGCTGTTGTTGTTGTTGTTGTTGCCAGTCTCATGGCTCTTTGGCCATCTCTTGACTTCCTATTTTCACTTTCATTCGTCATGCGCGTGGCGGCAGATAGAAATGCAACAACACTGCGGCAGACTGCAGACCCACTTAGCTATTTTCTTGCCTTTTATTTGTATACCCTTGCAGGGGGCAAAGTAAGTTTATTGTTGGTAAAAAAGAGTGTATGTGTTATACCAACAGCTTTGTTACCAGCATTTTGACTTTAATAAAATTAACGATCTACAACAGTCAAATTGAATTACAAAAATTCAGGGTCGCTTGTTATTTTTATCTTTGATCTAAGTGTAACAACAATTGTTTATTGAACTTTGGGCGTAACCTGCCTCTTATTTCTATTTATTTATAAACCAGATTAATGCACCAAATGCATTGACATCAACTCTTGTTACCAATTTGGCTCTAGTTATATTGCTAAGTTAGTGAATTAACAATGTCGGCTTTAAGAGCCAGGGTTTCTAGAGTTTAACCATTCGTTTTTTGTTGTTATTTCTTGCGTACTTCACGTTGAATTTCTTTGCCTTTGCCTCAGTCAGTTGTCAACGCGACATCAACAATGTGCGAATGTTTTGTGTGAGAATTCGCCGGTGGTTGTTGGCGTTGCAGCGATGTTGTTGTGTTTCTCATCCTGTCATGCTTCATCACGTAATTGTTAAATGTTAGTAGGCAATATTTAGATAATGCACTTCTGCTGACGTTGGTCAGGTTAACGGTTTGACGTGTTCGCCATGAAGAAGATTCCAGGCAGTCGATGGATAATTATCTGCTCAAAGATTCTTCTGACGTTAACAGTTCCCCGGATTTCCCGTGGCGAATTCCGCAGTTTATAACTTTTAAAGCTTACAACAATCGGTTGCTGGGCTAAAACAATCGATTCGTTAATATAGATAAACATCTATACAGCATCAGCGAAAAACAATAAAATCGGGCCTCGTGTATACCTATCTGCATTGGGTAATTGCATTTTTATACCTTTTTTGTTGTTTTTATATTCAGAGAATTGCAACGTATAATTTATTGAGATGGCATTGACCGGCACGACTGACAATGGATTTTTCCACCAGAAACAGAAACGGAAATGCCACACAAAACCTACAAATTTCCTATTTTTCTTGCAGTTCCAAAAGAAAGTTAACCAAGAAAAAAAAAGAGTTTTACATAATTTATTTAAATTTTGGTTTTCGCTTAGGCTGAGGGTATTGTTGCACGAACTACGTGATTGAATATTTACAACATTTTGTTGCATTTCGCTGGGCAAAATGCTGAGGCAACTGCATGCAATACCCTTGGCGTTGCCAATTACGTGGCACTCGTACCGCTTGTACTCGTACTCGTATTCGTACAATTAGCTTCGAGTGAAATTCTGCAATTGCGCGGCGCATCATTCCGGCGATTGTCAAAGACTCCATCCCCAGATGAGAGTTGGCCGGGCTCAGTGGCTTGATTGATCGCTGGTTACGTGCTGGATAAGGCAAAAAGCGGCAGCCACATCAGCATCAACATCTCCTCGGTGGCCCCAAGGCGGATGCAAAAACAAAAACACCAAAAAACGAAAACAACAGAAACAACAACAACAAAAACAAAAATAAGGTGGCAGCTAGGCTCCAAACAACGTTGTTCAGGAGCTGCCTGTCAACTGGGTTGCCATTCCATGAGTTCGCCTTTGTGGCCCGCAGACACTAACAACACTTTTAGTTTCATTGCTAAATGAGTGAATTTGTTAACAGCGTTGTGCTGTAATTGATGTTTTTCCGAAATTTCTCACGCTTGTCGCTAGGATAACAGTTTGTGAGACGCCCAAAGGCGTCTAACGATTGTCGATAATCAGCTGGTGCTTGGCCTGAGTAACTCCTTAATCTGAGAAATATCGGTAATGGAAGTCAAAAATAAAGAAAAGCTTAAAACTTGTAAGATTGAACCATTTGTAGGCCTCGACCAAGTATATAAAATACAATTTTCAGAAGAACATTTGCTTAATGCAACTTAACATAATTTATTTTGTTATATTTGTTTTTTATAATTTCTACTTTCATTTGGATGCCCAACTCTATCCTATTGTTTGGGGCTTACAATAAATTTAGAGCAAGTTCTATACAATTTTAAAAAATATGAATATATTTCAATGGTTTTATAATAAACCAGAAAACATATGATCAATTTAAAATTCACTTTGAGTAATTTTAGACCTGTTCTGATAGAATATAATGACGCGAATAGTTTGCTTATATGCATGCTTATTTTTTTGCCGTGTGAATTCAATCACTTTATTTAATATGCTAATTCCGCTATACAGGAAAATTCCCCGAAAAACATTCAAAATTTGTCCCATTTCGAGATTTATGTCGGCTCACGCTTCGAGGCTGCTCGGCTTGACAATGTGCCATAACGAATTGTAAACAAATAAAGCCGAGCCAAAGACCATTTAAATGGCAAAAGGCAGAGACTACATGTTGCAGATATATATTGAATGCGCTGTGGAATGAATGGAATAATGCCAAAATGCCCAAAAAGGGAGCAGACAATCGAGGGGCAAACAAACAAGAGGCAGCAAAAGTCAATCGATGTCGCTGAAGAAGAGCAACAAAAGCCAAGCAACAGGCTTTGGCAAACTGAAACTGTTTTTCGAATTTTCTCTCACTTTTTGGGGGCCCAAACAAAATGTTGGCAGCAGATAAAGCGGCGACAGCACGCTCCCAAAACATGGAGACATACAAATTTTTTTATCTACCGCTGACATTTGAACATGACTTTAAAAAATCTACGGGACTTGTGTGCGCAAATAGTTGTTGTGTGTGTAGTGTTTGAAGTTTTTTGGCCAACTACAGAAAAGAAAGCTAAGCGTGGGTGTCATTCGGTCAAAGCTCCCTGCTCCATGTTCACTTCATCCCCATTCGATGCCCCCCACCGCTTCCTCACTAGACATCGATACCTTTTTTAATACTCGCTGGCCACTGTTTGCCCTCAATAAAATTTGATGGATCATCGCCGCCTTCTTTAATTTGCTCTCGTCAATAAAAAGAAGTACAGAAGAAACAAGCGAAATTAAAAGGTCTTAAACCGAACATCGGATTCGATATGCAAATCGAGAAATCATCTTTGCACGCAGTCGAATGCGAGCTCTTTTTTAATGGGTTCAGGCTTAAATGTGTGAGCACGCTTAATGTGGAATTATTGTTATTTGTTAAATTGCTTGGGAGAAATGTTAATGTTGTTTCACTCTTTAGCCTTAAGCTTTGGTTATTTCTGTACAAGATTGTATTTTTGGGAGTCACTTTTTGATCCTGACTTGCTTTTCAATATGTACACTTTGATGAATAGATTGAAAAAGGGACTTTTATTTTCAACAGATTCCGCGGAATTTATTAGTTCACGATTTTAACGAGAAATGTTTGGCTACAATATTTGTTAAGCCGTTACTAATTTTATTGGGGAATTCCGTCTTTGTTATGAGTAACCTTCGACTATGCTAATTTCTAAAAATACAAATTCATTGAATATTTGCAATAATTGGAAATCAAGTTTGCATTAAGAAATGTAGAAGCTAAATTCGGGAGCTGACTTAGAGCTTTCTTCAAAAATTCTTACACAAGCATTGGAATACATTTAATAAATAGGATTGGCTTGTTAGGCTGATAATTTCCTCTTGTGTGTTGAATACCTAGCAACTAACGGATATTTCAGTTCATACGAAATGTGCCCACCATAAAAAAGCCCAAGTATTTTGTCTTTTACAATACCAACCGTTTCCGTCAAATCGAGGTGGCGGCTAATAAGCGGTGGAATTGAGGGAGAAACCGGGTTAATTTCCTATTACTGAAATAGACGTTTAATGAACTGGCATCGTATAACACCTTAATGCGAGTACTTTTTCATAGCAATAATACTCTGTGTAATCGAACACATTAGTGGTCAAATGGCAGACAATGGCTGAGCGTTTCTCAGTGTGTTGAAAAAGAAATATAGCCCAGTAACTAAAATTAGAAACATGTCTAGAGCAGAAATCGTGAGGCATACGTTGTTGTGGGCCAGAAAAACAAACGATTCGAATTGGAGCTATTGCAAAAAAAGTGCAGTACGATTTATCGCCGTGAGCCATCAGAAGACCAAACGGAGTTCCGTTTCTTGGACTTATGACAATGGCAAATTTCCAGCCGACTTTGGGCCCCAAAGCTGGCCAAAACTGTTTGAGCTTCCTCAATGCCAGAAACGGACATAGCGGATTTTTCGGTTGTGAAAAACCGAAAAGCTAAAAAAATAATAGAAATAAAAGCGATTGCATCAACTTACGATCGTAGAGTCCAGTGGTTTGGTGTCTGGTTTCCTTTTATGCTTTAAATATTGAATTAATTGTTTATTCCTTTTTGAAAATGCCTTCAGGAAAATTGCTCAATGGGCCGAACAAGAAAAAAACTTGTATGCTATAAAGCTTTAACCTTTTTTTAAAGTAGTTTTTATTTAGCACTAAAACACCTTAACTGCGGCCTAAACGATTTTAGTCACTGCCTCCTAGGGTTTTTTATTATTTACCCTCTTAAGCACTTCACTTGAATGGGTTTTCTGGTGGGTCTCTTAACTTCTTGAACTGCGCGCAGACGCAGAGCGTTACCGACTCAGCTTCAAAACAGCGGGCGCGAGACTTTTTAATCTGCCGAAAAGCTTTAACTTAACGAAAGAGAGCTTTAAGCTGGCCAAAAGCTAGCGCTCATTTAAACTTGGCCTAAACTTGCCGTTTTTAGGTGTTTGAAAAGCGTAGGAATTATAATCTGTATTTTAACGAAACATTTTTTTAGTTTCCTAATCCTTATTTTTCTACTAAACAAAATCAACTGAACTTCTATTATTTATTTTATTATTTTAGTGTTGTATAACTTTTTTTTTAACCACCCTTGTTACTGGCTAAGACGTCACAGGTTTCTTCAACCACCGCTCGCAGTTAGCCAGCCCACACAAAAAGCTTGTAAGGTTTTTGTGCGCCTGCGCAGGATTAACGATTTCCAAGTCAGCGAAGAAGCCACTGGCAAAATAAAGTCAATCGACAGCTGAACTGCGTTGTTCAATTTTTTCCAAAAATTGTGGACTTCTAAAAGTCTTTTACCAAGCTTAAAATTTATTGTGAAGATCCAGTAATAAAAAAGTAAGATTGTTGGACAGTAAAAAGTCAAAATTTAAGGTCAAATTGTTAAAAGAAGAAAATTCTTTGAGCACATACTGCAAAGTAATTTTCTTGGCATAAGCTCTAATGCTGCAAAAAAGTGTACAAAACTAAGAGTGATAATTGAAGTGAAAACTTTACTTAAGTAACTTTGAAAATCTTCTATAAACTTAAATCATAAAAGTAATTTATAGACATATTTTCCCACTGAACTTGGCTTATAAAGTAGGAAAAACCAGCGCGTTTTGTGTGCGTGTGTGCGGGGGCTGTGATGATTCATTCGACCCCAGACGAGCACCCGTATATCATGTGTGTGTGTGTCACTCTCCCGCTCTCCCCCTCAAAGTGTACGTGTGTGTGTGTGTGTGTTCGCAAGTAATGCAAATAACAACAAAGCAAAGCCGTCAGCATAACCTGAGCAGAACAGGGACAAAAAGCCTCTAGCATACATTTGTGCGCAAAATCGATGTACGAAAATTTTCACGTGCCACAGAAGTCGCAAGCATCCAAAGAAAGCTAGCAAAAGTTTTTCCCCCACTAACAAATTGTGACTAATTGTTATTCCACACAGCTACCAGGAACATCGAGAGGAAACGTGCTGAGTGCGGCGAAGCCAAATCCATTAAAAATGGCTGAAGAGTATATACCAGATGTCAGCGTCATGGACACAAGTAAGTAACATATTGCAGCTACGAATGCGACCTTTCTGGCCGATCAGTCCAATTTGCTCATTAGGAAGTTGCTCAAAGTGTTGGGGAGAACTTTTTCCTTAACTTTTCCTGTGGCAATGAATAATTAATTCGGGTCTTTGTGCCTGCGAAGTGGTTTACCCTTCGTGTGTGTCGGTTTTAATTGGGGTTTCCTTTGAGATTTTTTCTGGAAACGCTATTTTATGTAGGCAATTTGGTCTCTACTTAATAAAGAAGGTCAGGTTTTTCTTAGCTTACATTTAATACCTTAGCATAAGTTTACAAAAATCGTACAGCTGTTGGAGGGGGAACAGCTCTCTCCTCATAATAGGTTCATAAAGGTGACTAATCGCAGTTGTAGTTTTTTACTCCTGTCAATATGTTGGGAGGAGCCTAAAGGTTTTCTCTTTTGCCTATCTGCAATTTTGTATTTAAAATTTCTTCAAAAGATATACATTTTTAAAATTTTATAATTTTTAAAGAAAATATATTATAAGATAATTATTTATAATGCGAGCCCCAATATGCTTATAACATAGCTATTCATCTTTTTCTTGTTTTGCCTTTTGACTTAAAAACCTGTCAATATTATCCGGGACATTTTATGGGCTTGTTTGCTTGTTTGTTCTTATATTGACCTATTTCTTATAGGGTAGTTATGATTATTAATTTTATTGCTGGCCAGGCCAAAGAATAAAATTTCCAGCCAGGTTTTATTTAAGTATAAATTTTTTAAAATAAAATAAAATACCAATAAAAGGTCTCATTGATTGTAGGTCATGATTTATTGCTTTAATTTGTTTTACTGTTTCCTTTACCTTATCCAATTTAGTAGCATTATACCATTCACCCACACTTTTTTAAGAATGTATTCACTTAGCTATTTTTCTTTGATTCTTTTTGCCAGTTGTGCCCGCCATCCTGGGTCTGACCGCGGCTGCTGTCCTCTCGTCGGTGGCCTGCATCTGCGCGCGCCAGATGCGCCTCCGGAACAAGAAGCAGAGCCAGCACGACGCCTCGTTCCCCTTCCAGCCGACCCGGCGACCGACCGCCGTTCGATCGCCCAGCGGCCAGCCGCCGCACTACCTGAAGAAGTCGCCCTCGCCGACGGGCGGCAAGCAGATGGGCCTCCTCTCGCCGATGCAGGACCAGTCCACCTCCCCGATCGCCCAGCAGAACGTGAAGTACGGCGAGGAGGATGAGGGACCCCACCAGCACTCGGAGCAGCAGAATGGCAACGGAAACGGACACGGAAACATCCATGGAAACCAACTAACAGTGGTGGATGGAAACGGAATGAAGCACTCGCTGCACAACAGCCTGCACCACTCGCCAGTGGAGACGATCGCCAACGGGAGTGTGACCATCACCCTGGACGACCAGGCACTGACCAACGGCAAGGAGCTAACTGTGGCTGACCAATACGGAAAACTGGGCACCATCTACTTCAAGCTGCGCTACTTGGCCGAGAGGAATGCTCTGATGGTATCGATCATCCGCTGCCGCGGACTTCCCTGCAAAGGAGGCTCTGGCGGAACAGGGGACATCCCCACCGGAATGAACGGACGCACCCAGGCTGCCACCGATCCCTATGTGAAGCTGCAACTGCTGCCGGACAAGCAGCACAAGGTGAAGACCCGCGTGGTGCGGAACACCAGGAACCCGGTTTACGACGAGGACTTCACCTTCTACGGATTGAACATGAACGACCTGCAGAACATGTCGCTGCACTTTGTCATCCTCAGCTTCGATCGTTACTCCCGTGATGACGTCATCGGCGAGGTGGTCTGCCCTCTAACCTCCATCGAGATCGGGGACATCTCCAAGGAGGCGCTGTCCATCAGCAAGGAGATCCAGCCGCGCAGCCTCAAGATTCGCGCCCAGGGACGCGGCGAGCTGCTCATCTCGCTCTGCTGGCAACCGGCTGCCGGTCGCCTCACCGTTGTCCTGCTGAAGGCCCGCAACTTGCCCCGCATGGACGTCACCGGTCTGGCCGATCCCTACGTCAAGATCTATCTCCTCTACAACGGCCAACGCATCGCCAAGAAGAAGACGCACGTGAAGAAGCGCACTCTGAGCCCCGTTTTCAACGAGAGCTTCGCCTTCGACATTCCCGCAGCCGAGGTGAGTAATTAATACTCTATTTTATAAGAAACTATAAGTAATTATTAGTTAAGTCATTGCTTCATGAGAACAGACATATTTGGAACAACAGAAAATTAAAGTAGATGGTTTTAAAGATTTATTTGACTTTTAGTTTATAAAAATAAAAGGCTGCGTTTTTATGTCCGATTATAACTGCAAATGCAAATGTTTTCTTTATAACAGTTCTGACAGTACACATTTTTAATTCACATTCCTCGACGGAGTGTTTATATGCCCAGTTATCACTAATTAAAGGCCATAGTTTCGTTTGTTTCTGACGAACAATGTTAAAGTATCTTGACCCAAGTAGCTGAAATTTATTAGTGATCTTAAAAGGGATTGGCGGCTTGTGAAACAAACAGTTTGACCCCTCAAAGTATATACAATCTTCAACAAGGATACTAGATCTTTTCAATTGATTTTAAAAAATATAAGTATGAAAATTTGTATTTATATATAAATTTCTAAGCGAACTTAGCTGCTTTAAAATCTTCCTGCTTTAATTAAATTTAGTATGTAACTAATTCAATGAGAATAAATAAAATCATGCAACCATATGGAAAAAATTTGCATTAAAAAAAGCTGTATGTTTTAAGTAAAGTATTAGTAGTATTGGTTTCATTCTTTTAAGAAATACAAAATTGTGCATTTCAGTGACTTTTCAGTGTCTTATAATTTTTGCTGATATTTTTTATTTAATTATGAACTTCTAATATAGACTTTAAAATCCTTTAAAACTAATTTGGCCACTGCAACTTAACCTTGTGTAAATAATAAAAGCTAGGGCTCGTGGAAAATATTAAACCAACTAAAGTACACTTTCCAAGACAGTTTTCTCTTTAAAAAAAGAACAAGGCAAACGATTTTTAAAAACTGTGCATAGGCTAACAATAGTTTTCAAATCCAATGAACCATGTAATAAAAATAAAATGAAAACTCTTATAATTACAGGGCACTGGCGCCAGCTTGGAGGGCGTGTCTTTGGAGCTGATGCTGCTCGACTGGGATCGCGTGACCAAGAATGAGGTAAGCGAATCGGATGACCTAATGCTAATAGCTCGATAATTGCACACTCCGCGTTCCGCAGGTCATCGGTCGCCTGGAGCTGGGTGGCCCGAACTCGAGCAGCACCGCCCTGAACCACTGGAACGAGGTGTGCAACTCGCCCCGCCGCCAGATCGCCGAGTGGCACAAGCTGAACGAGTAGAAGAGGGCAGGCAACCACCTGGGCGCTGGCGCCCCTTTATAAGAAGGAAGAAGCAGGAACCACTTTCAAACTCTTTCTTATTAGCATATAATTTTATACTTTCCAACGAGTTTTCCACCTTTTTTCGTACCGAATCTGATTTCTGGGAGATCTATTAAGTTTAGTTGATTTCGAATTTAGAGAAACATTTATGCAAGAAAACATATATTTACCAAGCAACCGCTAACTAAATTAAATGTATTAGAAAATGTTTAGGACCGAAAAATATATATAAGTGTAAGATATCCCACACACATCTTATTGTGAACACGATTCAAAAAGTGTAAAGGAGATAGAGTCAATCTGTTTTAAGTGGACACCTATTTTGTTGCTGTATAAAACATTACTTCTGCGCTTTTTGTGAATTATGTCTTTGTATGATTTTCATATCAAACAACCAAAGTCCCATTTTACGTGCCCACCATGATAAACATTGTAGTGGGTTTCCAAAAAATAAGAGAAATTATTAACCATGCATATGTATAAATATATTTATTATGGTACCTAACTATTAAGCATAATGTCCGTGTACAATTTGATTTTGATTGTTTAGAAATTTCCGTTTAATCGTAAGGTATTTAAATACACCATGGATATAATGGATACCAAACACCAAAGCCGCACACCCCGAAAGCTCTTGAAGTGTGTCCAGATGGAAGCTGATAAATGCTTACTGCTTAACACTTTATACGTACTCTTAAAAATAAAAAGTAGCTAAAACTACGAGTAAAACTAAACCAAATTGAATCTAGAGAGAACACGCAGCAGAATGCTTAGCACCAAGAAGCTACAAAACCACACAAAAATTGATCGAAAAAGTCCGAGAAACATTGATTCGGGAGGAAACCAAACAAACAAACAAAACACAATACAATAATGTAAGCAGCATAGTTCACGTAGGAATCAATTACCAATACCATACTCTAGAGTATAGCCACCCACGAATAGCTCAAACCGAACGCAATAAGCACTCCAAGGTGTATCTAGCGGCACTACTTATAAATCGAATGGATAACGGATAATGGATAATGGAACCCGAAAAAGCTTAGCTTAGAGAAGACACCGAGTCATTATCCACTTACTGATCTGATTGTACTGAATACAATTACGAACTACTAGACATCAGCCCGCTTCTATATTTTGTAAACTGAATGTTAGAGCATTGAATTTCATTGAATAAAACTACCAACATACAACCATAAGGATATATACATACATAAATAGCTGTTCGCAAGAAGGGCAAATACAACTTCAATTCGTGTCCAATCAAAACTTCAATTCGTCTAATGGAAAAACAATAATTAACAAACATATGCGATGAGTTTTTGCAAAGGAACCCAAATTATATGAGATGTGTATAATTCTACATTATATGTAATAGTAATTGTAAGCTACATCAAATGGTTAATTTCAGTAATAAAACGTATTATATAAAATAATTTCCAGTATATTTTTAATTTGTGTCTTATCTGCTCGCTGCTGCATTAATTTTGCCTATAAATAACATACTGTGAGTTCCAATGTTGAATGCATTGATAAGAAGAGATTCTCTCCCTTTGCATTCAGTAAACCAATAGCTCTGTTCGGGAACAGAATAAAAATTCAAATTCTGGAACTCTATATATTTGCTTTACTTTTGCTAAAGTTATCAGATGAGTTTAGCTATGAAACCTGGTAGATCGCTACTCGATATCGTATTGTTTTTGGTGTTACTGTGTATTCTAGGTAAGAGCCCTTACCTTACACAACAATTTTGAATTTCGTGTTGAAAATTCTTGTTTTTCTTATAAAAAGCAATACAAGCTTGAGTAAAGTGAATCACCACATTTCTTGATACTTATAAGTCACTGATTATCAATTATTGGTAATCTGTTATTGTTATTGAAAAGTGGAGATTTTTTGAGTATTCAAAAAGATGTTTCAGGTATTTGGCTCAGATTCTTGTGAGATTTAAAAGGGATTCTATGGAGCAGATGTTCTTGAATAGTAGTCCTAATTGTCAATATTTTAGATTTGACATTTTCGCTCGATTGTGTCACAACAAACAACCAGACTCTTCAGAATTATCAGATATGTGACGGAATCGTCAACTGTCTGCCAAGGAAAGACTCTGAGCGTCCAGATGAAAAGTTTGAACTATGTTACAATAAAGTCTGCGATGGTGAGAATTTCTTTCGGTGCACTTATGGAGGATGCCTGAATGCAACTCGCAAGTGCGACGGAAAGATTGATTGTTGGGATGGAAGCGATGAGAACAAATTCGAGTGCTCGGCTGATGCAGATCTGCAGAAAGAGTACGAGGACCTCACTGGAAATTGCGTGTAAGTTGTGGTAAAATAAGGTCAGTAAGGTGTAAGGTGAAAGGTGGTAAGAGTAAATCCGCTGGAATCCATGTTTCTTACAGTAGTTAAGGCTAAGTGTTTTATTTATTAAATTTATGGTAAACATCGCAAGTCAGTTTTTCCAAATACATTATTATTTAAAGTTTTGGAAGGAGAAAATCAAAACGTTAAAATAAAATTGCTCAGTCCATAATTTATATAAAAACTCGTTTATAAGTGTTTTTTTAAGCCCTTAGACAAATATCATATTGGCATTTCTTATCGGTTCATAGCAATTCTTTTACTGTTTGCATATCTTAATTATCTGTGCTTTTAATATAATTAAGTAAGGCCTTCAGATAGACTTTATTGGCTGATCAAAAGTTGTCTACGTCTTCCAGAGACGAGGAGCTGTTCGACTGCAAGGGGTCGTGTCTAAACTGGAGTCAGGTGTGCGATGGGAAGGCCGATTGCAAGAACGCAAGAGATGAGGATCCTACATTATGTAAGGCAATTGAGTGTCCTCCACCTGCATTCAGATGTCTCTATGGCGCCTGCGTCAGTCCAAATGCCCTGTGCAACCACATTTCCGACTGCGTCGACGGCTCCGATGAGATGGAGGAGATTTGCCTGGCCAGAAACCCCCCAAAGGCTTCCGTGTCTGGAGGCCCGAAACCCTCCTGGGCGATTCGCCACTGCAAGCTGCGTGACCCCTCAAATTCCATGGTGGTGGAGGACTACGTAGGTGGGTCCACCTTCCAGAGGAATGCCACTGTTCCTGACCACACTGTGGTGCACCTGAGATGCCTGAATGGTCAGGACTTGATCGGAATAAAGATTAACATCTGCGACGGCGACAAGTGGCGGTATCCGATGGCCAGATGTTTGTCCCAGTGTAAATATACCGGCAGTCTGGTGCATTCGGGTCAGTGCACCCTAAATGGTCGCCTGATCGACTGTGATGGTCCGGTGCTGCCGACGGGCACCCAAATGGAGGTTACCTGCTCCTCCGGCTATGAGCAGATGGATAAGAATGGCATCCAGTTCTGCCATGGGAATGGTAGCTGGGTGGTTTCCAAAAAGCTACCAACCTGCGAGCCCATTTGCGGGGTGTGGCAGATGAAAAACTCCTCATCCTTGTCGACTCCTCCATGGTTGATGACCATCTTCCAACGCGGTCACAAACCGGAGTTTCGTGCCGTCTGCGAGGCGACCATCGTGTCGCCCTATATCCTTGTGACCACGGCACACTGTTTCCGCAATGCAACTATAAGGAATGTGGCCTCCACGGAACCGGTGCTCTACACAGTGGCCGAAGGTGAGCTGAATATCAACTCCTTTCTGCAACACGAACCCCATCCGTACAAGTTGCACAACATTTCCTACATCCACAATGTGAGGTAAGTCACTTGTACTGAAGTTTGTATATAGTATTTGATGGTTTTTTAATTTTGATAAGGAGTAATCATTTTTGCGTGATTTAAAATTGTTGGTTTTATAAAGACTTTAAAAAGATAGAAAGACAAGAAAGGAAGCTAGCTTCAGCAAGCCGAAGCTTATACCTTTATATGTCGAACATAATTCATAAAAGCTGAACAACATCGAAGCCATGACGATTTTTCTATTAATTTTCCGTATTTTCGACTATGGTTCATATGACAGCTATATGATATAGTCGTCCGATTCCGAAATGAAATTTATTTTGTAATTCAAGAGTCGTTGTTTCAGAAATCACGTTTAATGAAAAGCAACGATGATATAATTTTATTTCCGTTATATCCATTTTTGATATTTTCTATGGCAACTATATGATAACGTTGTAAAAAGTCGAGTTTTATAATAAAATATTTACAATGCAAAAAAAACAAAGGTTGCACTTTGTATTATGTTTAATAACTTTATCCCATAATTGTTGAAAAAATTTTAATAATTTTATTTGAATCAATGTAAAAGTCAATAAAACAAAAAAATACATACAAAGTGTATATAAAATATTAAGTAAAAAAACAATTGATCGCCAATATTTGATTGAACTATTCTTCTTAAGTCATTTCTAATTATATTTCTAAATCTATTCGGTTGCTAATCGATTACCTTCAATCCCAATTTCTTTGCAGTGTATCGGATGGAGTGTCGCAGGGTTATTTGGCCGTGGTGCACTTGGTGCAACCCTTGGAATTCGACGTCAGGTTGAGACCCGCCTGCCTCACAAAGGAAGTGACCAAGGACTGGGTTATCTCTGGAAACTATATTGGCCTCAGCTGGGGAGGTCCCACCATCGATGATAAGAGGCAGTCGGGACGGTACGAGCTAAAAGAAATAATTAGCGACGGCTTTGTGAAATACCACATCGGCCCATTTGTGAAGGCCATTCAAAATGATATTGCCGAAACACAGGCGAAGGGGAACATTTAATTCACTTTATTACGGGTTGAGTTCGTGGTTAATCGAAAATCAATTTACATCAACTGAGGAACACACATCTACTATTGACAACTATTTAAGTATGTATGCATATTCCGGTGGATATCGGCGAGCATCCACGCTGTTCAGCGATCGAAGTTCCCGATCCCGGGAACTATTCTTTGTTTTCGCATATCTTAGCCATTGAATTAGTGCTGTAATCTGCTGTAATCGTTAGACGGTAAAACAAATAATCATTTAGCTCAGCTATCTGAATACCCCAAATGTTTCTATTTAATGCTGGTATGTGGGTGTGTGTGTGTGTGTGTGGTTCCGAGTTCATTTTGCTATTCACTTAACTGTAGGTATTTTGTTTTGTGTTCATTTTGGGTTTTGTCTTTACATTGAGATTGCATTCTGGAGTTAAACACTAGCTATGGGTTAGTTTAAATTTAGTTTAGGTTTAGATTAAAATTACTTTATTTAATAATACATTACATTTGATGTTGTTATACTCGTATTTACGTTTAGGTTTAGTTTCTGCCATTTAGTACGAAATTTTATAGGACACATTCAGTTTGCTTAGTAACTGCGGTAAAAACGCTTTTTAAAATGTTTGTTTTCTCATTTTTCATTTTTCCGTTTTACTCTTCTGGTTTATTAATTTTGATCACTTCAGTCTTTCCAAAAAGTAATACAACATCTCTGTTCGGTTCTGTTTTTTCCTTCGTTTTTGCAGCTGCCAACATATACTTAGAAAAGGTTCTTTCAAAATAGTTTTCATCTATCGCATAGTTCCATCTATAGTTGTAAACACGTTTGATTTCTTGTTAATTCTTAATTCTTGTGTTTTTTTCTCGAGAGGACTCTCACAGAAATGTCTGTATTAAATACGATACACCTAAACAAATATATATGAAGATTTGTATTTAAATGTAAATTACGTTTGCCGGCAAGTTCCTTTAGGTTGATGTAAATATCTATGTACATATATCGGCTTAGTTTGCAGCTATTCACTTCATTCTTCTTGATTCAAGACTGCGAGATCCGTTTGTGCGTCGAAAATAAATTCACTTTCAAGTATATATTTACAGGCGGCAATAGACGAGGTCCAGGAAAACTAATCACTTGACAGGGAAACTTTTGCTGGACAGAATTAGTATACAAGTGCAACGCAGGCATTCTTTTTATTAAGAACCCGTGATTCCGGTGTTCGTGTTCGAAGACATCGTGTAAACTTAGGTTTGGACGGTGTTGGTAAAATTAGAGTACGTATCGTTGGCCATTTACAGTTTGCTTATCGAGGGAGCGAGAGCTCCCCTAACTTAACAGAAATAAGATCTACCAAAATTACAAGTGTCCGTTACGCGCTACGACTAACTACAAATTAATACTGTACAGGAATGCACGCCTCGTCTCTGCCGGGATAAATAACGGGTGGGTCCGGCCCAACTTAGAAGTATGCCCCCAGCTATCCCTTGTCCTTGCCAGGACCCACGCTCACGCCCAGCAGATGCTCCCCCGCCATCAGACCCGCCGGCTGGTGGGCGTAGTTGCGGATCTGGTGCAGCGAGATCAGCTGGTTGGGGAACGCGTTCGCGTTGTTCTGGTTCACGTTCTTGTTCGGGAAGCTGATGGCATCGTAGAGATACGGCCGCTGGGCCATCGGGTGGTGGCTCAGCGAGTTCAGGTGCGGCGGCATCGAGTTGATCGGCGTGAACGCCGAGTTGCTGGTGGTCTTCGTTATCGATGCCGCATCGTACGGGCCCACGGCACTGGGGGTTGAAACTGCAAAGGAAAATACAGATCCAAAATAAAGTTATTTAGAGAAAAAAGGTGTGAGTTTCGGTAATCAACCGCTTTAATTGTCGAGCAATAATGTCCACTCCATTGAATGCCATTTAGTTAACAATTTTTCCGTTTTTGGGTTTGTGAAATAAAATAATGGAAAATATAATATACTTTTTTATTTTCAATTTAACTAAAAAGCAGTCGGTGCATTTGGAAATTTACTTTGCCAGAAATTTAGGCTAACTGATCTCAATCTTTTTTGTTCTCTAATTCTTTGAGAATATAAACTTAGTCTTTTTGCCTAATAGCGAAGCTTAGTTTGAGCTGAATTGCTCATCGCAGTGAGTTTTGGATCTGCTCACTTCGGAGTTAAAACCTTGGAGATTCTATTTTTAAAAAAACTTTACAAGTTATTCTTGACCATAGTCAGATGGGATCGGAAAACGTTAATTAAATGGGATCAAAATTACAAGTTTATCGTTACTTTTAAACATTATAAATATTGCAGTTTGTCTTTTGTAGGCAATCCAGTAAATCATTTTTAAAACTACCTCACTGAAAGTTTCTTAAAGCTTTTTTGCTATGCAGTATGCTTATCAATTGAAGGGACCGAATACAAATAGTTTCCATATAAGCAATAAGAAAAAAAAAGGAAAAATTAAAAGAATTTAGTGAAAAACCAGCTATAAATTCGTTGTTGTTAAACTAACATTAAAAAAATGTATTTAAAACTGATAGCATTTGAAGTATAAAATCAACTATGTGTTGGATTCAATGTTTTTAATTACAATTAATTTTATTAATGTAACTTAAATTTATTGTACCCATAGTTTTCTTTCCTGTTTTGAAAGAATTAATTCTTGTTATCGTCGTAAAGAAACATTTTTCATTAACAGTTTCCGTGGACTTCAGACTATTTTCAGGTAGCTATAACTATTTATATAACCGAGAATAACTATTCAGTGTAACTATTTTGTCGATTCGTGTATCTAGTTTAATAGGTTAAATAACAGAGTCTACTATATTGCTGATCGCTTACCTATATCTTCCCGCACGGGATCGGGCATGCGGTGGTGGGGCTGGAGCTCCGGTCCGTGTCCGTTGCTCTGGGCGCTGTTCGGCGCCGTCGGCTGCGCGTAGTGGGCCTCCATGCCTCCGTGCTGCGGCGGCGGCTGCTGCTGCGGGTGGTGGTGCTGCTGCTGCTGCTGCTGCTGTTGCTGCTGCTGCTGCTGCTGCTGGGGCGGGACGTGTTGCTGCGGCGGGACTCCGTGCTGCGGATGGTGGTGGTGCGCCTGCTGCTGTTGCTGCTGCTGCTGTTGTTGCTGCTGCTGCTGCTGGTGCATCACCTCCATGGCGTTGGCGGCGGCGGCCGAGTCCGGACTCACCTTTGGCCAGTAGCCGTTGTCGCTGGGGGCGATCGAGACGGGGGGCAGGCCCAGGTTGCTGCGCTGGTGCTGGGCGGGATTGGAGGACGGCGGCGGTCCGTTGGCGGGATTGGCCGCTCCGCCGGCAGCAGCGGCTGCCGCTGCAATGGCCGCCGCACTGCCGGGAGCGATGGGCGGTCGCTTGTCCGTCCGCTCGGCGTGCTTCTGCATGTGCTTGGTCAGGTAGGTCTCCTGGGTATAGGACTTGCCGCAGTACTGGCAGATGTGCGTCTTCAGGTGCTTCGACTCCTTGTGCTTGGGAATGTGCTCCAGCAGCGACGGCTCGTCCGAGAAGCACTTGTAGCAGGAGTTGCACTTGAACGGCTTGTCCGTCTGGTGGCAACGCGAGTGCGACTGCAGATTGGAGAGCTGCGAGAAGGCCTTCTGGCAGCCGGGATGCCGGCACTTATACGGCTTGTCGCCCGTGTGCGTCCGGATGTGCTGCTGCAGGTGCGAGAGCTGCGTGAACTTCCGCTGGCAGATCTCGCAGCGGTACGGCTTGATCCCGAGGTGGATGCGCGTGTGCTGCGACAGATACGACGAGTTGGCGAACGCCTTCGAGCACTGGGTGCACTTGTACGGCTTCGCCTCCCGCATGTGGATCTGCGTGTGCAGCTGCAGGTCCGCCTTCGAGCTGAAGATCTGCGGAGGACAAGGCGGATATATAATGATGGGGAACAAAATGGAATCGATGCGGTCTGGCTGCTGGTGGAACTGGCTAAACGGTTTGGGCTTGCGAGTCTCGGGCGTAGTTTAAAGGAAACTAATTTGGCAATTGATCATAAAAAAAAAAATTATATTCCCCGGTATTATATTCCCTAATTTGAGGGAAGTAAGAGGTATGTTTGTTCCAATCTCTTTAAATAATATAATATAATCATATACATATAATAATATATGTATAATTGTCTTATTTCTTAGGCTTTCTACTATAAAAAAAAGGAAAACAGGAAAACCACGCTCCTTATTTAAAATTTTTGTGGTTGTTGTTTTACAAACCTTTTAAAACAATAAACAAAACTATAATATTTAAAAGAATTTAAAAAAAAATTATGCATCTTAAAGCACATCCTAATCTGTTTTAAAGTACAAACATTGATTTAAATGTTGTTAACAAGATTGTCTCTAACAAGAGGTTACTAAATCAGTAATCTCCTCTCAACAATCTTTTTACCTAAGATACGTGGCCTACTTAGCTTAAGAATAGGTTTTTAGACGTAATGTAGTTTAATTAATGGTCGATCAGATTACACTTGTTTTAAATAAATTAAACCAAAGCATAAAAATAAAAAACACATTTTTTAAAGTTTCCACTTTTTGTTGTTTTGTGTTAAGAAAATGTACCCCTTGAACAAATGAACTCTTTTCAAAAATTCCCCTTCACCTTGGTGTCCTTAACGTCCAGTTGGGTCATGTGGTGCGGCGAACTGGTGGAGGAGGAGATGCCATTCCCCGAGCCCGCTGCAGTGGTCACCCCGGCCACACCCACATTTCCCGCTGAGGAATTCTGGGGATTCCGCTCGTTCAGCGTGGCATTCTGCATCCGGATGCCGCCGTTGTCCACGCTGTTGCTCGTCACAATGATGTGCTGGTTGGGATTGGGGTAGATGCGCGACTTCCGCCCTCTGGTGGATCCAGTGGGTGCGGTTCCCCCGGTGGTGCTGCTCCCGCTGCTGCTGCTCACCACCGCGTCGTTCACGTGCTTCTGGGTGGTGGCAACTGGTCCGCTGACCGCCGAGGAGGCCACACTGCTCTCCAGATTGGTGATGCTCGGCTTGGGCTCCGGCACCAGTTGGTACTGATGCTGCTGCTGCTGCTGCTGATGTTGCTGCTGCTGCTGTTGCTGCTGCTGCTGCTGCGGTGGCTGGGATTGCTGGTGGGGCTGCTGGCTGTAGCTGAGCACGGAGCTCCTCAAGTCCGCCGTGTTGGAGAACACACTCAGTGGCCCCAACGCAACTCTTTCATTGAGGCTGTTCCGCAGGTGATCGATGGACCGATGCACTGCATGGGAGTAATCCCCGCCAGCGGGAGGAATCTCCCCGATCAGCGGAGAGTTGTGGTGGTAGTCGAGGCCTCCGCCTATCGGCCGGTACTCGATAAGACGGCCTTCCATTTGGCTGCTGATTAAATCTATTTTGGTTTAATTTCACTTCACTGGTCCGAACACAAGTTTATTTCGACAAGAAATTGGAGTTATCTTTTTGAGCTTTCACTTTCACTTCGTTAGATTTAAGTTTTTTTCTAAAGTGTCGAAGAAATGATTTATTTGTTGGTATGGTAGTTGTTTTTAGAATTATGGCCCGAAAAATATATGTCGTGGGGATTTTCTTTATGATCTCATAGATTTTATCTAGACACGCTAAAGCCTTCTTTAAAAGAAATTGGTATAAGCAACATAATGTTATACTATCCCATAATAAGAAATGTTATTGAAAAATAAACTAATAGCTTTTCGGAAGTTGCGGAAATAATAAAAGAGTTTTTGGATGTAAATTGAAAAATTAAAGAGGTGATAATAACAAACATCCACCTCTAGTTAAGTTTCCTAACTTTTCATCTCCCAATGAAAATAAATATTTAACATTCAGCCCTTTGCTCACAGAATGATTTCAAGATTCCCAATTTGGCTTCTAATGAATGCGAAAGCAACTATTCGCGGAATAGAATAAATTTGTTGAATCTGTGTTAGCGCTTTGTTGACATTCTGCCACAACTGCCAAAGCCAATATTAAATAAAGAGGAAAAACAGAGACGGAGCTCAACTAAAAACCTGCGAGACGAAACCGCAAAAACGCTTTGGTCTCGACTGGGTGCACCGCCGATCCGGAAAAGCGACTTTTTGTCTTTGCTTTTGTTGTCCTAAATCTAACGCCATTTTTTCCACAGTTCACTTTTTATTTTGCATTTTCAATTGCTACGCCTGTTCACATTTTTTTCTTATCCCCTTTTTCGCGACGGAAATATTTTTTCCACACGAAATTTGCTTTTTCGGCTTGTCCTCGACTTTTTGCGACGCGTTTTCCATTTTTCCCATTTTCTATGCATTTCTCTTTTTGGACTGCCTTCGATTAGATTTTTTCTATATATTTGTATAAATGCTTGGCTGTGCTTTTTCCACCTCCCCGCTTTTTTTTCCTGTGGATAGCTAGTCATTCAAGCGCAGACATGCCGCAGACATCCTGTGGAATTTTCCAGGTGAAAGTCCTCGATGGTATTTTTTCTGCTTCGGTTTTTTTTATTGTATTGAAATGCTCCAATTTGAGACCTCCTATTTCTAAACGCGACAAATTATTCATTCATGAGTTGAACGTTTGTATGCTCTGTTGTCCTGGCAATGCCGCTGTTTTTTCGCCTTGTTTTTATTAGTTTGTTTAGACATAGCTAAAAACTGATTTTTTGCATCTATACTATTGACCTTGAACGGTATTTTTGTGGGTTAGATTTTTGCCTACTCGAAAAAAAGGATTGAAAAATAGATATGTCAACACTTTGGCTGCTGACACGCAAATGTAAGTGAATATATTGCCGCGGTGGTTTAATTATTGCAAGTGTTAATGCATGATTAACAAATTATTTATGGAATTGAAATGTAAGAGCTGAGAGTTCTCCGAGATTTAATTGACACGACAATGAGCTGTGTGGAATGCCTGGTGGCGAAAACGAAATGCGAAATGAATTTAAATGGCTTTTCAGCTTGAAATGCATACCAGAAACACATTACTCAATATATGAATGTAATTTTAATCATTAAATTCGAAGCACATTGATTTCAATGTTTTGGAATGATTCACGTGTGTTAAGTTGGCCGTAACTTCAGTCGAAATGATCCTTGCTCATTATGAAACGCATTTCTCATCTCCACGGAAGAGCTATATAAATCTGTTCCCACACCTGCTGTCGCCAGTCAGGTGGTGTGATTTCTTTTTCTTTTATTGGTTAGCTAAATATTGACTTTTTTGACATAGCCATTTAATTTATGTAGAAGGCAGCGCAAACATTCCGCATAGGCAAGTACATAAGAGGATTGCACATAATGTAATAATGGCGTAAAACAAAAATGCAAAAAGAAAACAAAAATACAAAAAAAAAAAAACATCACAAACAAAAAAGCAAAAAATTAAAACTGGGGAAAAATATGATGCTCTGTCTGTGTTTGCATTTACACTGAGTTTGGGTTTTGGGTTTGTTTGGGCCTGGGTTTGCGACCTGGGGGTTTGCCGATTGTGTTAATGCGTAGTTTGGGCTTTTAACTAATTAACATTTAGCGGTTTGGCAATATTTTCGCCCAGCTCTCCGGTTGCATTCCCTCACAGATTGCGAGGGATGTTATTAATTGAAAAATGTGTAAAAAGTTTTGCGCGCTCTTTTATTATTCATAATTTGCTGTTGTTGCTGTGTTTTTTTGTTTAATTCTGATTAATGCATTTTTCACACCGCTCTTTAGTATTAACTTGTTCAGAATCACAAAAATGTTTCCGCTTTTTCCACAATTTTTTTTGTCAGTTGATGAAAAATGCATTGCGCGGTGTTATGCGATACATTTTTTCTTTGTGTCCACCTTTTTTACATGGCTAGTTTCTTATGCATTTTAATGATATTTAATTTCGCATTTTGCCATAGGAGTTTGTTTTGTCTGCCTGTTTGCACTAATCATTAATTAATTTCACATCACTTAAAATATGCAATTAATATTATGTGTGCTTCTCATAATTAAAAATAATGAGTTCATCTTATTAGAAGCGTACGCCCGGGGCTCCGTTTTTAACGTTGTTAACGCCGCGCTAGTCTTTGATTAACTGATCGCTCTGCCCGGGTTTTCTGGCCAAATTAACCCAATAAAACAACATCTGCCAATCTAAAGCTTATATTAACGGCTGGTTTCTGGAATAATGCCTGAAATCTCACAGCTCCTTTCTACTCTGGCGGTCGACCAACGATCTTCTCAGCCTATCAAATTTCGAGAACCCAAAAATCATGCTGGACCAGCTCAGAATCAGGTGTTTTGCGGTGCCCAATTAGTTTCAGCTTGATTGGACCGGATCAACTCAAAGCTCGAGTCGGTGAAGTCAACTAGAAAAATATTCGGTCGTCGAGCTAATGATATTTAAAGGAATTATGCTGGGAACCTTTGAGGAAAGACAATTTGACAGGCCAGCGGGCCTCATGATTTTGATTAGGACTATAATTCGAACCTGATGACAGATGGGTGAAAAGATGATTTTTTTTAATATTATAGTAATAGCTTTTTCCTTCTAAAAGCGTATATATTTCTTAAAGTCATATTCGTTGGGTTTCAGGGGCTCTAAAATGCACAAATATTTATTTCCTCTCTTCCAATCATCGATTATAAAAGTGACTAAATTATTTTTTGAGATCTGCTACATTTTGTTTTTTAAGTTGAAAAATTCCTGATGCCCATTCTTAATAATTTAATTTAACTTTAAACAAAAAAATACGGGACTTTATCACCTTTGCACTTTTCATAACTAAAACCTCTTTAACTTTCTATAGAATAATTCAACAAATTTCCTTTGCATTTGTCACCATGAAAATGTTTCGATTCTAGCTTATCCCGAACATCTAGATTTCATAACAATTCGGAGATTTCTAACGTTTCAAATTGAAGTAAAGCAGTAAAAGAA